GAGCTCTCACTGTGTCGGCCGAGACTGGTGCTGTTAAATGCTAGAAGGTGTGATAGGAACCCTTACGTCCTTGTACCATCTGGTTTTGTGAGCCAGAAAGGATCCTTGGAAAAGGGTACTGGGAAACCACTACTGAACCTGGAAGGGCACAGCCCAGCAGAAAATAAGGTAGGATGGAGGAGAGTCAAAATATAACTGGAAAGAGATCGGCTTCTCTTTAAACTCCTTAAGAAGACACACTGACTGAAAGTCTTTCTTCTCCAGGCCTGACAGTTCTCAACCATAAAACACAAAGTTGAACAAGGCAATCATACCTTCCCGTTGGGCAGGTTTGGAATTGTTTTGGGAGTTATCTGGGGATAATGCCAGGGTGCTGGGACAACATGGGGGATCTCTTCTGTTAAAAAAATAAAATAAAATTACCTTATTGAATTCTTACAATCAAATACTGCCAACTAGCATTGCTTCCACTCATGCATCATTAAAAACAAACAGCTATTTCCTTGGTATTTCCAAATACCAAATACCTAACAAAGTTTGAACTTAAAATGCACCTTGATTAATATGTGAACCAGTAATTTTTTTAAGCATAACTAACAATTCAGTTCCTAACATGAAAGTGAAAGTGTAGTCACTCAGTTGTGTCTGACACTGAGACCCCATGGACTGTAGCCTGCCAGGCTCTTCTGTCCAGGGAATTCTCTAGGCAAGAATACTGGAGTGGGTGGCCATTCCCTTCTCCAGGGGATCTTCCTGACCCAGGGATTGAGCCCCGGTCTTCTGCATTGCAGGCAGATGCTTTACTATCGGAGCCACCAGGGACTGGGGATCTCTTAATGTGGAAATCTGTAATCAGCTGCAGGAGCTAGAAACTCTAGGTGCTTTTTCTGTATTTTGATGCATCACTTGAAAAACTTTTAAATGTTAAAGATGCCAGTCTTCCCTCCAGATTCTAAACCAAAAAGGTTGCAAATCAGGCACACTTAGGTTTTGTCTGACTAGAAGAATACTTAAAAAAAAAAAAAATTGATCCAGCATTTGAAAGTTGTGAGTTTCGGTGTTCTGTGATGACCTAGAGGGATACAGTGGAGGGGGAGGCTCAAGGGAGGGGATATATGTATACTTATAGCTGATTCATTTTGTTTACAGCAGAAACTAACACAATGTTGTAAAGCAACTATACTCCAGTAATTAAATAATAACAATAAATTATGATGAAAATTCAAAAAGAAGCTTTTATCTGAAAATCCATATTTGTTGGCTACTCTGAAAGATTGGAAGATGTGACAACACTAGATCCATGGCAGCAATTAGCGAGAGGTGGATAGCAGCTGTCCTGTTTGGATAGGGCATCTGCTCTCGTTTGACCATCCCCACCACTCACATTAGGGTAACCACATAACTTGGCCAAACTTGAGCACTTCTAAGAGTAAAAGGGGTGCTATTTGTAATGATGCCTGGACCACAGATCTAAACTAGGATCCTGTGGGCAATGAGGATGTAGAGTTACCTCACTTCACACTATTACACTGGGCTTTCTTTTCTGATTTGCCCGACTATTAATTTGGTTAATTTGGTCATAAGTCAGGGATTCCCATGAGGAAGAAGGGAAAGAAAAAGTGTAAAATGAGTAAGAGATCTAGAGGGTGGAAAAAAATAAATGAGAAAAAGCGTATTACAATGAATGTCGATTACCCCAAACCTTCAGGCAGAGGCAGAGCCTTGCTGGTGGCTGGTTCAGCATGTAAGTTTGACCTTCCTGGCTTCCTGCCCTACACAGCACTGTCAGTTTTAATAAGCTATAATCCTGTCGCTATGAGCGAGACTAATCAAACTGCAGAGAGCAGCCTGTTCCTAATCAGGAAGGCACAGGATAATCATTTAACTCTGTGGTTTCTCAGTGAGCTCCAAGCTGCCTCAACAGAAAAAAACATCCTGGAGAAGATGGTTGCTTACACACGCTAATCTTGACCTTTTGATGGCCTTTGTTTGAAATTTTATTAAAATTCTTTAATTACACAAATTAGTTTGAAAACTGTGTTAAAAGAATCTCTTCCCTTTATCCCCAGAGAATAATAAAATATCCTCCCCCCAAAGCATATAGGAAACCTCAGACTCATTGATTTCTCAAGAGTCCACTTTAACTGATCACAGACTCAAACTCTCTCCCTGGTGGCTCAGATGGTAAAGAATCTGCTTGAAATGTGGGAGACCGAGGTTCGATCCCTGGGTTAGGAAGATCCCCTGGAGAAGGGAATAACTACCCTACCTACTCCAGTATTGTTGCCTCGAGAATTCCATGGACAGAGGAGCCTGGCGGGCTACAGTTCACGGGGTTCCAAAGAGTTGAACGCAACTGAACGACTGACTGACTTTCTGAGAGAGTGAATTCCTAGGCAGGTTGATAAGAAGTCCAAGGGTCCCTGAGAAGAGAGGGGTCAGAGGTTCTTGAGAACGAGATAGGGGTCTGGAATTCTCAAGGAGGAGGAAAGGACAAACTTCTTTTTTTTTCTCTACATTCCTTAGTCACATAAAACAGTTTTTTCTTTAAGACCGGAAGTGATGATTATACAACAAGTTCAGTTCAGTTCGGTTCATTTCAATCGCTCAGTCGTGTCCGACTCTTTGAGACCCTGTGGACTGCAGCATGCCAGGCTTCCCTGTCCATCACCAACTCCCAGAGTTGACTCAAACATGTCCACTCAGTTGGTGATGCCATCCAACCATCTCATCCTCTGTCGTCCCCTTCTCTTCCTGCCTTCAATCTTTCCCAGAATCAGGGTCTTTTCAAAGGAGTCAGCTCTTCACATCAGGTGGCCAAGGTATTGGAGTTTCAGCTTCAACATCAGTCCTTCCAATGAATATTCAGGACTGATTTCCTTTAGGATGGACTGGTTGGATCTCCTTGCAGTTCAAGGGTCTCTCAAGAGTCTTCTCCACCACCACAGTTCAAAAGCATCGATTTTTTGGTGCTCAGCTTTCTTTATAGTCCAACTCTCACATCCATACATGACTACTGGAAAAACCATAACCTTGACTAGATGGACCTCTGTTGGCAAAGTAATATCTCTGCTTTTTAACATGCTGTCTAGGTTGGTCATAACTTTTCTTCCAAAGAGTCTTTTAATTTCATGGCTGCAGTCACCATCTGCAGTGATTTTGGAGCCCCCAAAAAATAAAGTCAGCCACTGTTTCCCTATCTATTTGCCATGAAGGGATGGGACCAGATGCCATGATCTTTGTTTTATGAATGTTGAGCTTTAAGCCAACTTTTTCACTCTTCTCTTTCATCAAGAGGCTCTTTAGTTCTTCTTCACTTTCTGCCATAAGGGTGGTGTCATCTGTGTATCTGAGGTTACTGATATTTCTCCCAGCAATCTTGATTCCAGCTTGTGCTTCATCCAGCCCAGCGTTTCTCATGATGTACTCTGCATATAAGTTAAATAAGCATGGTGACAATATACAGTCTTGACATACTACTCTTCCTATTTGGAATCAGTCTGTTGTTCCATGTCCAGTTCTAACTGTTGCTTCCTGACCTGCATATGGATTTCTCAGGAGGCAGGTCAGGTGGTCTGGTATACAACAAACAACTCAGTTTAAACTCTGTACTAAGGATTATATAACAACAATGTATCCTGCTTGAGGACAGTTTCTCCTTCCTGAAAACCTTCTGACTAATCCTGATATCTTAGAGTGTATATTATGGGAGTGGGTCTGGTAGGATTTTTCTATCATTAAATTCTAATCCTGTTATCCTAGAATGTAAATTGTGGGAGTGGATCTGGTAAAATTTTTACAACCTTAAGACATCCTTTTGATTTATTGTAGTAACTAATTTATAAAGTATATAATTCCCATGCTAAAGACTAGCAAGTGGAGCACCCTCCACCCCCTTCTGATGTCTATGTCAGAAGCTTTCTCTGTCCCCTTTCACTGATAAAATTTCTGCCACACAAGAGCCCTGAGTGGTCAAGCCTGGTCTCCAGTCCCAAAGCTAAAACTTCGGAGATCACAAATCTGACGTTGTTCACTGTAAGCTATCATTTCCAAACCCGCTCAATACCGTTCAAGGTGTGATTACAGTCCCCAAACTGGGCTTGAGCGAATTAGCAACTCACATGGAATGGCAACTCACATCAAGTACCTATAGACCGATAGGTGTCAACATGGTACTGTCGGCCACACAGGCCAGTGCCAGCTATTCCCCAGTGGAGCAGTGGGAGCCAAGACTGAGCTCCAGCAAAGCTCCAGAAGCCCCCTGCACCTCAGGGCCAGAAGGCTTCTCTCTTCAGTCCTTCCTGTAGCCCCTTCAACTCAGGAGCAAGCCACCAGGAAGAGGCTAGTGCAACAGTTAACTTGAGTTTTAGTCAGATGGAGCCAAGTCCAACCTGGGAGCTGACTAGTGGCAGGCTTTTGGCAAACCACTCAACCTTCCAGAAATTCCTGGTAGGCCTCAGGCAGACAACTCAACCTTCCTGAAACTCAAGCTAGGAATAATATCAGCACCACAGCCATGCTGTAAGAGTCAATGAGATATGTGTGGAAAGCATTTACTAAGGTGCCTGGCACAGTAAAATACTCCATAGACTGTGGCTATTACTATTATTTTATTATGTACTAGCATAACCTTAAGGCCTCTGATTATGTAAAAACACAGGTGCATCCCTCAATCTCTTTCCTGGATTCTGCATTTAGTGTGAGTTCACTTAAAAACAATGACTACATATGGAATCAATGTAGAAAAATTCTTTTCTAATGGAGAACATTTCTGGTACCATGGAAATTAATGTTTTGTTTAATAGATGCATCACTATTTATAAGAAACCAGATTAGTATATTTTTTTAATTAAAAATGTTTATTGGTTATTGACTTTAATCAGTTTAAAGGAAAGAAATATTCTTTCAAATGTGCTAATAAGAAAAAGACCCAGAGAAATGGACAAAGTTGGGTAGAATTTTCAGTGTTTTGAATACAAATAAAGTTCATAAATTTTATATGGATTCTAGGATATTTATTAATACTCCTCCAACAATGGGCTTGACATTGAACAGGACTATAAACATATGAACAAGTCCAATCCAATATATTTCAAAACAAGAAGATTCTTGAGAACAGAAATTCTGTCTTTTGTAAGTATCCTTGCCATTCATTGGAGGAGAGGTTACAGGAAGTATCTGTGAATTCTGAAATTCATGAACTTTGGAATTCATATACATTCTTAAACTAATAAAAGAAGACCATATAGATGGTCGCGCAACATATAAAAATATAGTAACCACATAATAATCAAAAACAATGTTCAGTAATGCCCACTAAAATGAACAAAGAGAAAAATACAGCATAAGAATATAAAACAAATATTTTATACCCCTACAAACAAAACAAAGGCATCTTTTTGGTTCTGTTGTTTTTATAAAAACTATGTGTGAAACACACACGTATGTGTATTTTTACAGGAAAGTTGACAAACATAGAAAAGCACTTCTAAATAAAAATCACCTGTCATATCATCAACACGAATGTCATTCCTTTGACAAGAGCATAAAAAATTCATAGGAGATGTGATCAGGGAAGGCCTTCCTAGCCTCAGGACTTGCAGATGCCAATTTACCAACCACTTTAAAATCCATGGGCCATGTAAATCCATGGCTAATTCATTTCAATGTATGACAAAAACCACTGCAATGTTGTAAAGTAATTAGCCTCCAACTAATAAAAATAAATGGGAAAAAATAAATAAATAAATAAAATCCATGGGCCAAACCTCTTTTTAGTCTCTCTACTGTTACCTAACTCCTGATACCACTGTATTTTAAATCAAGCCAACAGTGATCAATAAACAAAGATACATGTAAAGCTATGGTTCTAATCTAAAACTTCTTGTTCCCCAAATATTAAGAGCTGGATGGAATCTTAGACATTCATCTAGTACTCTTCACAATGCCTGTCCCCATTATTCAGAAGGAAACAGGAATGGGGAGGTTAAGTGATATATGCAAAGTGTCACAGCTGAGTAACTTAAACCCAATCCCCTAACAGCCAGGCCAGGGCTCCATCCAAGTGAACACACGGTGACTGAATCTCCCCAAGTGATGGAACTTCAGTTATTAAGTGGCTCGACTATGAATGAGCCTGAAAGGCAGACCACAGTGGACCTGTATGACCAGATGAAAGCTGCAATGCACTTTCAGCTCCACATAGGCAACTGTGGTGACTTTAGGGAGGCAAGCCACAGAAAGACCATGTGGTCAAACGAAGAGTGTGCCCTGTGTCAACTGGTCATTGGAGCAACGTGAGAGCTCCACATCCCATGGAGATGTGAGCCTGGTGAAGTCACAAGAGTCATTTCTGGTTGACTGCACTGCCAGGACAGCTTGGGAGGCAGAAGAACCCAAAAGAGGCCCCTGAGAATATTAGGATTAAAATGAAGAAAACTCTTGAATCAGCTAGATTCCTCTTGGTCAGCAGGCACATATCCACAGAGGTCATACAACTTACGACCAATCATCTCCCTTCAAGTTCCAATTCAATTTAGTGAACCCTCAGATTTTCATCATCCCCACTTCAAGGCTGTCCTCTTATATCTAAAGCTTATCTTTGACTAAACAAATCTCAATTGACTAAAAGAGTGTAGAAATATGAAAGGTCATGTTTCAGTTTCTTCTGATCAATCTAGGTCATTTCAGTTGTAAGAAGTCTCTTTAGCCTCATGCGGGCAGAGCTCAGTACAGATGTTCCTACTTTAAGCAGACTTCATTCTCAAATATAAGCGATTAAAGTTTAAAGTTACGATCACTTCTGGCTCTCTTCTTCCCACATCACAACTGTGGTGCATGCTCGACGTGAAGAGTCAGACTGGGTGCCACATCTCAGGAGGCTTGCTGGCGGATGAGCTCTTTCAACTGAGCCAGTCTGTCACTTTTCAGTGCTTCCCGGATGGAGTGGAAAAATCCAAAGTAGTGTTCAAAGTTGTGCATCATAAGCAGGACACCAGCCAACAGCTCGTTGGTCACCAGCAGATGGTGGACGTACGCACGAGTGTGGTTCTTACAGCAATAACAGGAACACCCTCTCACGAGAGGACTGAAGTCCTCCTGGTACCTGAGGAAGGAAGTTACAATGATATTCCACAAGAAACTGAGAACCCAGACCACCTATTCTGTTGGCACATAACCAACAGTTAGTAACATGACTAGCAAATGTAGTGCCAGGCACCTGCTGAAGAGGGCAATGTAGCCAAAAGGTAATGGAGAGAGCACAGCAGGTCAGGAGATTCAGAAGTCCAGCTCTGATGGATACAGCCTCCTAGACCAAGGCTTACCAAGGAGCGGCAGCAGAGTCACATGCTCGCTGCCTCCTGCTGAGCATGGTTAGTCACACTGTAAAGGCACACAAAAATGTGAGGAGACGCGGTTCCGATGAATGACACTCTTCTCCCACTTGCCATCAGAACTATAATATTAGAAGAGATGGTATGACCTTTTACTTGCAGAGCTTTTTGCAGTTTACAAAAAACTTCTATATATTCTGTCTCATTTAATCTCTGCAACCACCCGTGGAGACATACATTTTTCCTGTCACTTTACCAATGAAGACTGGCCAAGGGGGCTAAAAGGGAAGGCTCTGGAGCTACAATGACTGGGCTTGTTTCCTGCTTCACAACTCTGGAAAGTCACTTAACCTCCCCCTGGGTCTGTTTTCTCATCTGAAATGTAATCAGGTAATAATAATGCCTTATTAGTGCTTACCTATAGAGCTGTTACAAGAATTAGATGATTTAATATAGTAAGGGACACAGATAGGCACATGCTAAGCACTATATGTACTATCCTTTATCAGCTATTTAAAAAAAGTTATATGACTTGACCAAAGTCACACAGTCATGAGCAGAACCACAATCTGAATGCCAAATCTCCAAAGCTTCAAGTCTATTGCTGATAAATACAGCAGTTTCCAATGATATCTACAATGTAAAGGGAATTTTAGTAGTAACCATTTATATCACCCTAGCTTTTTAAAAACAGAAATGAACCTCCTTGGTTATTTTTCAATAAGTCAAACATGGTAAACATCAGCATTTCAGACCTACAATCGAGAAGTCACTACAGAAAGAAGAACTAGGAATTTCACATTCTTTCATAAATTTTCAAGTCTGTACTGTTACTAGATAGTAATAAATAAGTCTGAGTCCCTAAAATGTCCCTTTACATAAGACCAAAAATACCCCAGCATTAAAATAAGTATACCAAGTTCCAGAAAACTACTCACTTGTTCACTGATAATTTCCACTTTTGGCCAAACACAAAGTTACAAGATATCTTAGTTTTAGTCTTTATAGAGGCAAATACTTTACTTAAGATTTATAATTTGTATATAACCAAGATGGCTTAAATTCCTTAAAATTTAAAAATCTTTTTTTATTTTATCTTGAAATTCTTATTTTACACTGTCATTATTTAAAGTAATCATAAGAAACACCAAACAATGGATTTGGTCTAATCCTCCTGAGAGCTCTTCTAAAACATTAGTTATCAAGCCTCAGTTTTCTGTCAAGACAAAGTACACAAATTCATCTACAGAAAAAAAGAATTCTGCAGGCACTGAATTTGAGAAGGCCCAAACAATGTCCAACTATTATGAACTCATAAACTGAGAAGGGAACAGTTACATAAAACTTTTAAAACAGACTGAATTAAAAAGACAGAAATCAAATTTAAAAAAACAATCCTTACTTTTTTTCCTTCAGATTAATTTCAAACGATGTCATTTCTTGGTTGCAACTGGTTGTTTTACTTTTCTTTGTTTGATCCACATATTTTATTTCTTCCTGTGTTCCATCTTGTTGTAATACTGAGGACAAACCAAAAAGAAGTCTTGAATGAAGATCAGATAAAGAGGGGCCACTGGGAGAATTTTTGTTTTAGTTACTATTTCAGGTCCTTTGACCCTGTAATTCCACTCCTTAGAACTTATCTTACGGAAATGCACACACATTAAAAAAAGGAACATGTAACAAGGTGATCACTGACCTGTAATCTATAGTATCAAAACCTGGAGACTCAACTATGTCTAGCAAAACATGGTTATAAGTGTATATCTTATAATCTTACTCTCAAGGAACGATTTCTTAAAAACCAGCTGGATGTGTGTATGTTCGTGTGTGTGTAAGACAGAGGGGAGGGAAAGAATAAATGTGTGTGCCTGTGTGTTGGGAGTCATGTCTTATCATAATGTACATGCAAATTCACTGGGCTTTGTAACTGCCTATATTACAGATTAAAAGTAGAATATGGTTTTAATTTATGTATTCCATATGGAGACTCTGGCCCTCCAGGGAACTCAGTTAATCCAGAATTAAATGGGAATTTGAGTTGTTCCCTTGAACTCTTTGCTTTAAGTAAGAACATTGCTGGAATTGCAAGAGAAACACTAGTTACTATGCAAAGAGCCAGCCAGAGTGCAAGTAGAGAAGTATTTCTGAGAATGAGTAATAACAATGTTAGGCCCAAGGAAAATGGGCAGATGGTCCTAGGAAGGTAAATTCACCCAGGTGAAAGGAAAAAGTGATGTAACCTGAGCATTGAGCCCATGGCTATTCTAATTTTGCTGCCATTATTGGCATGCTGATGTGGAAAACCATAATAAAACCCTGGCTTTTGGAAAGTCCTTGTCACTGGGGAAATTACTGCCAACATCAGGCAACTAATTCTTGTGGAATTTTCACTTTGTAATTGGCAAAAAGCCCCCATTTAGTATGCACATACACAAATATGATTCATAATAATACTTTCATAAAAATGTTTAAACTCAGTTTTTCCAATCATGAAGAAATCTGGCTTTCTCTGGCCCAAAAGGAACTTGTTTGTTCCAAAGAACTCGATACCAGGTTCTCTGTAGAGCTTTGCATATTCACAGTACAGAATGACTAACAATCACCTATGTGCTGGCAGAAATAATTTCACTTGTAAATGAAGCCATGAACATTTATAAAGAGTTTATGGTACACTTATCTATATACATATGTTCTAGTCTGTCTAAGAGATAGTAAACCTGGCCTCCACTGCTTAAGAATTTGATCAACTTGATTGATTTTGTTTCCAGAAATAATTCCATTTAGATTATTGCTTAAGTTATGTTACAGAAGTGTAACAAATCCTGAATGAAATTTTCATCACTTATGGGGAATAAAAGGAGCCTTTAAAGAAGTCTCTGACACTACTCAAATTTAAGGGGAGCAGCAGGCGGGAAAGGAAAGCACACTCTGAAGGCCAGAGGGCAAACGGGCCCACAACACTCTCCTGAAACACTGCAGAGACACTTCAAGGGACCCCAACCCTAAGTCTATATCCCGGTTCCTTTTTTATTGCCAGCTAAACATTAGAATCTGAAACTGATTTTCTTGACTTCTGAATAACTAAACAATAAAAGCAAATGGCAGTGCTTCAAAGCAACATTAGCAGAGGAAAACAGCTTTCACATCTCAGTATGAAAAAAAAAACAAAGTAACACTAAAACCAGAGAGGGTGAGACTCCCTGTATTTTAGCATGAGGTTTGCAAAAAACAGACAAGAACTCCTTTGTGAAAAAATGAATTAACTTTTACCAAGCAGTTCAAAGGTTTTCTTTTCTTAGATTTTCATCACTATTCATTCACTCTGAATGTTCTTTTTTTCTGGCTATTAATAGAAGAGGTTTTGTTTTTCTTGGTTCTGCTCTCTACAAAAATCACTTCCGAATATTGATGAGCTATGTGTGTAGCATTAAGTGCCTGGTTCTGTGTGCCAACATGCCAGGGCGTACAGATAAAAAACAAAGACGTAGTTTTATAAAAGGCTAGCTTTACAGTATGCACATATTTCTGGTTTGTGACTCAAGCCAAAAGCCGATAGGAAATAGAAAGAATTTAAGGGTGACACAGAGATTAACTTCAAAAGACCTACATGTCTCTTCAGGATTCGGCTGGTAATCAAAGCTGAAAGTCAGGGCGCATCCCCGCTCTGTCACTTGATAAGGGAAAAAACTCTCAAATAAGTCCACTCCTCTTTCAATACACTCGAGCACCTCATCTGGCTGACTAACACCACAGATGAGCCTGTGAAAATAATACATACAGTGACATGAGGACAACGCCAGGAATGAAATCAGAGTCTTTCCAGAAGGCATTAACAGTAAATAATAATGAAAATCATGGTTAGCATGGCAGGCAGCAGATAAAACAGGTGTAGCCGAAAGACTACAGAGCTTTGGCAGCAGAAACCTGGACTGGAATCTCAACTCTGCCATTTATTTACTTGCTGTGTTACTTTGGGAAGGTTTCTTAACCTTTCTGAGTTTTAGTTTTCCAAATTTTAAAAACAAAAGAATACACATCTCATAGACTGACTGTGAGAATGAATGATGTACTTGAAAAAGCAGAGTGTAGTTTCTGACTCCAAAGAGAAGCTAATAAGGGTTAGTTTTCTTTCTCCCTCATCCCTTCTGAAACAATCTCCAGTCTTGGACTTAATTCTGTAGCCTTTCTATTCACTGCATATGATTGTTTTTTTTAGTGTAAAGCTGTGTGTTTTATTTCCCCTTCAAATACTCTTCCATGTTTTAACTGTACTTTGCTTATAATTCTTTTTCATTGTTGGCTCAAGAAAGACATTTTTATCTACTGTATTCTTCATAGCTCCATTTACAAAGCAATTCTTACTCTCGGAATTTTAACTCTGCCCACAGGATCCAAGAAACTAGTTAGCTTTCTTTATGCTTCTTCTGTATTTTCTCCATTAACAAAATGTCTGCATGGGAGAATGAGATGGTATTTCTAGAGACAATAGGTAATGCACTCTGAGAGTGCTAATAATATTCAACTAGGTTTTGCCACTAAAACAAGATGGGGAGATGCAATAGATCAGGGCTGGCTGGCTGCTATTTTTTAATGTTTGTTTTTTACTCATAGTCCCTTTTATAAACTAGCAGAGAAAAGCTTATAGACTCCCTGATTTCTAAAAGAAGTCCAAAAAAAGGTTTATGTAATATTAAACAACCAGAACCCTTAAATATATGCTGGTTTTTCTGACTACAGTTTCCTTCAAGTAATGTCATGTTTTTAGAACTCCTCTCCAACTGAAGCTGGCATTTCTACACACTTAAGAGAAAGAAAAACAATCCCAGCTTTCAAATCCAGTAACAGACATCTGTGAGCATTTAATTCAAAAGAAGTCCAGAAAATGACTAGAAATACTAGTGCTGAATTGTCATCTGCACCCAAATGAAATAAGCACAGGAGGGAAAGCAATGAACATAGAGGACTAGGATAAAACTGGGGCGAGGGTGGGGAGAATGCTGGCTAGGGTGCTGGAAATATCTTGTTCTGGCTGGTGTTTACAAGCATATACAGGAATAAAAATTCATCAAGGCATGCCTAAAATCCATATACTTAACTGCAAGTTATACCTGGACCTTTTTAAAAAAAGTAGTAAAATTACATACATATATATATAACTCAGGGTGTCCCATGTGGCTCAGACCATTGCAGGTAAAGAATCTGCCTGCAATGCGGGAGACCTGGGTTTGATCCGTGAGTTGGGAAGATCCCCTGGAGGAGGGCATGGCAACCCACTCCAGTATTTTTGCCTGAAGAATCCCATGGACAGAGGAGCGTGGCGGGCTACAGTCCACAGGATTGCAAAGAGTTGACACAACTGAGTGATTAAGCATAGCACACATAATATTACTCATCAGCCCGAGGGATATAAGCATTACCCCAAAATCAAACCTCTTAATGTATCTCCAGGAAAAAAAAGCATGACTATTCATACCAACTGGGATAAAAGACTAGATAGAGTCTTTTTTAAAAAAAATAAAAAATGTGGATAGTCTGGTAAGACATCAGCTGTATGCAGAAACTTACAGGTTTTTTTGCCTTAAAATCTTGCAGATCACTCCTCTCTCCAGCACATAGTAAATCCTGTGATGGATGGAAACAGCCAGCCCCACTCAGGTTGCCAGTTCCCTCAATTTCAAAAAATACTCCTCACTACCTGCCTCAAATCTAAGAACCTCTTTAAGGTCCTTATTGATAGAATCTGTCTTCATTCCACTGGGGATCCCAAATCTGTCCTCAGCTTTCTGTGATTAAGGCCAGAGTGCCATGTGGCTTTCTACCTGTCCCAAGGTTATAATGGATAAAGAACATTATTTATATTTGGCACAAGAATGAGGGGGAATAATATAACACTTGCCCTCACTTATAAGAATCAAATAAACTAACTCACATGGCACCGTTCTCTGGCCCACATTCTAAAATCAAAGGCAAGATGGGCTTGATGGAAACTCCCCCAAGCAGACTCAGCCCAGAAAGAACATAATCAAAACATCAAGACACGCCCATGTAGAGACTGCATACTACACTGCACATTCTGTAGCCCACCAGGCTTGGCCTGCATCCTCCTGAACACTAGCCTTGGTTTGTCCTCCGGCAGCTCTGCAGTGACTGACGACAGCAAGTGCAGTCTAGTCTCCAGGGTCTCTGGATTCCCCTGAAAGCCATCCAGAAGGAAGCCGCCAACAGGCCGCTTGGCTGTTTCTCGAGCCGACCTCAGCCTCTCCTCCATCACGTCTCCACCTTCGATCACTCCAATGATCGAACTTTTCTGGAGGGCCTAAGGTGAGAAAGGATTGAACATTCTTAACTGTTTTCAGTAGTGGAGACCTCTGTTTAAACGAGCATTAGTTCCCAGAAGCCCCCTGGAGAGATGAAATCTCAGTTGAAGCATGCAGGGGGATGGCACCCTCTCCTTCCTGAGAACCTTTAGGGTTCCAAAGAACACAATCTGAAAGCCATTCAACGAGGTAAGAAAAGACTGAAGAGAAACTGAGACAATCAACATAGGCAGTCATGCTTTAGCTTAAACACACACCAGGCAGGTACAAGAGGAAAAGAACAAAAGCAACAGCTTTCATTTGTAGAAATGGTTCTCCTGGTCTACTCTAGGCTACTTCTAAGTCTCTTAGGACTCACAGACTTAGAAAACAAACTTATAGTTGCCAGGGCAAGGGATAGTTAGGGACTTTGGGAAGGTCACGTATACACTGCTAACTTTAAAATAGATAACCAATGAGGTCCTACTGTATAGCCCATAGAACTCTGCTCAATGTTATGTGCCAGCCTGGGTGGGAGTGGGGTTTGGGAGAGAACGGATACATATATATGTATGGCTGAGTCCCTTTGCTGTTCACCTGAAACTATCACAACATTGTTAATTAGCTATACCCCAATACAAAATAAAAAGTTTAAAGTTTGGGGGGGAAAAAAATCTCTTAGTTATAAATAACATTAGGAACTGTGACACTGTTTGGCTGGGACAACTGATTACCTATTTGGAAAAAGATAAAACAAAAATTAGTACTGTACACCATTCTCAAAAATAAATTCCCAATAGCCCTAAAGATCTAAGCATAAAACATATAGTTATATAAGTATTAGAAAAACAGATTAAGTATTTTTATACTCTTGGGATAAGGTAGGCCTTCCAAAGCAAGATAAAGCTTTGGAAGGAAAAGGCAGACATAATTGAACACAGAAACATTAAAAAAAAAATCCCTAGTGAAATATACTATCAACAAAGGTAAAGGGGAACTTACTCTTTGGAGGGATAGCTAAATGTCTACACCATGGACAAAGCTCCAACAAATCCTCTAAGCAAAGGACAGCCCTACAGACATCTAGGCAAATATGTGAATATGAACTTCAGAAAAACACATCCGGAGAGCTTACTAAATCTCACAAGGAAATGAAACCTGGAAATAATTAGATACCATTTTTGCCCATCACACTGACAGAAAAGTCAAAAGATAAAAAGCAAAATAGTGGAGGTAAAAGGGTTAGAGAAATGGCACTTACATACCCTGACAACTACAGAGAATAAAAATTAGTTCAGCCTCTTGCTAGGGCAAGCATACAACACTTACCAAAATGTCAATACTTTTATCTTTATACATTCTAAAATTCCACTTCTAAGAATATCACCTACAAATATAGTTATTCATATGCACCAAAGTTTATTTTTGGTGCATATGAAACAAAGATGTTTAGAATAATGAAAAACTGGAATCAGGCTAAACATCCATCAATAGAGTAGAGGCTTAAGTAAAGTATAATATGTTCATAGTATGGCTTCCTACACAGTTGTTTTAAAAAGAAAGCAGAATGTATAGTAATAGATACACTAACAGGAAAATAATTTTCAAGACATTGTTAAATAAAAATAAGCAAACTCCTGAAAAGATGATCATATTCATGTAATAAAAAACCAGAGGCATGCATATATGTAATAATTATGTGTATGTAACTATAAAAAATAAGGTTTACAAGGAAAAATACCCATCAACAGTGGCTCTTCGATAGAAGAAGTGGGTGGGAAGGGAGCCTGGAAGGCTATAAAGAAGCTAAAAGGCTATATTCATCCGGCTTCTTGATTTAAGCATGAGGAACATAATCAGACTATTCCTCCAGAAACAAGACTTAAGCTGCTGTGTGGAGAGTGAACTGAGGGTGAGTGTGGTTAAAGGATGGAGTAGAGATGACTTGAATCATTGGGGAAGACAAAGAGGATCTTGACTGAGGCAGTAGCAATGGAATGAACAGGAGAGAGAGGATCTGCAACCTCGTCAGGAAGAACAATCAACAACTCAATACAACCTGACTGCTGAGTTTCCTGGGGAGAGGATGAGGACAAAAATAGGATGACTCCTGGCTCCTATTTCAGATGTCCAGGGAGATGATGAGAAGAGTCGAGACAGGGCATCCTAGGACACCAGTGGAGGGTGAGGGAAGATGATTCTGAGTTTGAGGTATCAGCCACTGAAGATAAGGAATAAAAGTTAGGGTAATGTATATACTGGTGCGACTGCCCAGGCTAGACAGCAGGAGGTGCTTGGCATAGGCCTGCCACTCCCCTCACCTGCTGTCATGCTAGACACAGCCAAGAGACTCTCCTCACCCTGCTGCACTGTGCACAGCTCTGAGCACCTTGAGATGAAACTTATTTACCATCCCTGGCCTCGGGAATACACGCAGAAGGAAGGAAAGCTGACGACAGAATCTTGAGGAGCTTCAATGCTTAAGGGCATTCAGAATAAGAGGATTCAACGGATAAGAGGAAAAAATCACAGACAGAGGAAAAGATGCTTGCAGACATACAAAGTAGACATTCACACAGGCCTGTTCCTTTACGTGATTGGCACAGACCCATCTAGGAACTCGTTTTCATGGGTATAAGAAGTGTAACCACCAGGGACTTGCCTGGTGGTCCAGAGGTTAAGAATCCACCCTTCAATGCAGGAGACACAGGTTCAATCCCCAGCCAGGGAAGTAAGACCCCATTTGCTGCCAGGCAACTAAGCCTGAACACCACAATTAGAAAGCCCACGTACCACAACCAAAGATCTCGTGTGCCACAACTAAGACCCGATACAGCCAAATAAATAAGTAAATTTTTAAAAAGTATAACCGTATTGTCTAAAATGGAACACACTTAAGAGTAAAAGGGGGCACTATCAATAATCATGTCAAGACAACAGCATAAGGGGTACAGAGAGGGACCCGAGCATTTGCCCAGCCCACAAGAATAATGTGAAATGGTGTGGCTGACAACACACAAGAGGGATTTGAGGCTCATCTGGCCTTTCTAATAATCACACTCTGTCACTCTCCCTGTCCTCCTTTCTACTCATCCAAACATTTACTCATCCTACAAGGGTAATTACTGGCTGAAAACAATTGCTAGCAAATAACTGTTAGCAGAGCTAACAATTCAGAGCCGCAGCAATGTCCCCACGCTGAACCCTTACTTAGATACTGAGAGTTCTATCAGAATGACAAGTAAGCTTCCTCTAATTATTTCATGTATATTAAGTTGATTAGCCAAAGTACATTTTTTATTAGTAAACTCACAATAATGATCTTTCTCAAACTCCATGTGCTTTGCCACAGTGGGGCCTGCTAGTGGCTCAGGATTCCTCTATACAAATGACCAGACACTAAAAGTCTCTCCTCTGATCGCTATCTCCTACTCTCCCACTTCCTCTGCTCTCTCCTAATGACTGCCTTCCTTTCCAGCTTTATAACTCCGCTATCAAGGTCCCTTATTCACTGCTACAGCTTCATCTTCCCCAGCTCACGAGATGATGAGGTTACTATGCCTTCAGGATATAGAGTCAGAAGGGGCACTTTCCAGACATACGTAGGGAACTGGAGTCAGGGTGGAGTGAACAACTGAATATTAACTCGATACTAAAAAGGGTCTTGAAAGACTCAAATCTCTGGGCAGAGGAATTAGGGACTGTCACACAGGGAGAACAGTGCTGAAGGAGAGCCAGAGGAAGAGCAGGTGTGAGGAGAGGAGATACTGAGTTTGTTACCTGAGTCTGAGGTGCATGAGAGGAATAGTCTAGTGAGAGAACGCAGCAAAGGCCTGTGGCTGTGTAACTCTGAAGCTAAGGAGAGTGATCTTGATCATACACACAATTTTAGAATTTTCAGCAATTAAAACTAAGGGGAGCTTCCCAGACAGAACATATAGTGTGGGATGAAAAGAGAGCCTAAGACATCCTAAAGAGCAATAAAACATTCAGAGAAGAAGAAAAAATCAGGAGAATAAAAGAGACCAAGAAGTGAAGAGCAAGAAACAGGAGGAGGGGCAGAAAGGGCGGTATCACGGAATGTAAATTAGCTAGAATTCCAGGACAAAGGCCTGGTGAGTGGGACGGCTTTACCTCTGACTCTTCCTGTAGCTTCAGACAATTATCCAGGAAGAGAAGCGATCGGTCAACAGACTTTCTGGCTCTTTTTACGGAAGTTGCTTCATCGCAAGTTGCCTCTCCATCCGAAAGGCACTGGAACCAGTCTGGCTGAAGGGCCTGCTGAATGGCCATGAACTTGGAGGCAGTCATTTCTACTCGTCCTCCAACACCCCACACAGACACTGACTGCCACGGAACAAGGCGAGACGAATTAGCAAGAGTAACATGCAAATAAAAAGAAAATAATACAATGATTAAAGCAATTCTGAATTCAATTCTTCTTTACAGCTGGAGAGATGGTGGCAATTCAATCTTCTAGACATGGTGGGTAAAGAGGTTTCCCATACCATATTCCAAATTTTCTAAGGACCTGAGAGCTCATAGTGTACTTCAATGTCCATTCAAGCCAACTTCTCAGTTATTGCCCAAGAATTCTGTGACTACTTTTCCAGAATCCTAGTCTTTCTCTCTCTTCCACTCCATGCTGTTTGTGACTACACCACAGACCGATTTCTTTGTCTTTCAACACACTATTCCTTTTGATTGAGATGGCCTTCCCCTACTTCTTTGCCTGGTAAAATACTATTCAAGACATAAGAGTTTAGATGCCATCTTCTCTACTGAGTTCCCCAAACTTTACTAGGCAAAAATCAATTGCTCACTCTTATAAGCTCTATCAGCAATTTGTATTTCTTTCTTTCATAGAAAAGATAGCCTTTATCACACCATTGTATATTTGTCTGAAGCAAGTATCTAATATCACAGTTGTGCCCCAAATGCAATCTGGGCCTCACACATTATGAATGCTTCTGTTCAGTTCAGTTCAGTTGCTCAGTCGTGTCCGACTCTTTGCGACCCCATGGACTGCAGCATGCCAGGCTTCCCTGTCCATCACCAACTACCAGTGTTACTCAAATCATGCCCACTGAGTCAGTGATGCCATCCAACCATCTCATACTCTGTCGTCCCCTTCTCCTCCTGCCTTCAATCTTTCCCAGAATCAGGGTCTTTTCAAAGGAGTCAGCTCTTCACATCAGGTGGCCAAAGTATTGGAGTTTCAGCTTCAACATCAGTCCTTCCAATGAATATTCAGGACTGATTTCCTTTAGGATGGACTGGTTGGATNACTTGCATACAGATTTCTCAGGAGGCAGGTCAGGTGGTCTGGTATACCTGTCTCTTTCAGAATTTTCCACAGTTTATTGTGATCCACACAGTCAAAAGCTTTGGCATAGTCAATATATAAAGCAGAAATAGATGTTTTTCTGGAACTCTTGTGCTTTTTCGATGATTCAACAAATGTTGGCAATTTGATTTCTGGTTCCTCTGCCTTTTCTAAAACCAACTTGAATATCTGGAAGTTCACAGTTCATGTATTGTTGAAGCCTGGCTTGCAGAATTTTGAGTATTACGTTACTAGCGAGTGAGATGAGTGCAATTGTGCAGTAGTTTGAGCATTCTTTGGGATTGCCTTTCTTTGGGATTGGAATGAAAACTGACCTTTTCCAGTCCTGTGGCCACTGCTGAACTTTCCAAATTTGCTGGCATATCGAATGCAGCACTCTCACAGCATCATCTTTAGGGTTTGAAATAGCTCAACTGGAATTCCATCACCTCCACTAGTGTTGTTTGTAGTGATGCTTCCTAAGGCCCATTTGACTTCACATTCCAGGATGTCTGGCTCTAGGTGAGTGATCACACCATAGTGATTATCTGGGTTGTGAAGATCTTGCCACCTCTTTTTAATATCTTCTGCTTTTGTTAGGTCCATATGCAGTCTGGGCCTCACACATTATGAATGTTCACTCATTAGTCATAGTTACAGAATTATATGCAAAGACATAAATCTCATAGTACACAAGAATCTCTGTATGTTCCTTTGGTTACTGCTTCCCCTACAGCGTCTCTCTTCTTAGAATAGATGTATGTAACTGGAGGACCACATACAATCTTTTTCATCCTGCATAACACTGTTTGAATGAATCCGTTCTCCCTTATAAATGGAATAATCGAGGTCAAAATATTTTCTTTTGAATTCAAATTGCAAAATAGAAAGAAGTGTAAAACAGAAGACAAATTTTAAAAAAGTTATCTTATGTAAGATTAATAGACATTGTTGATATCAATAAAGTGGGTGAAGAAAAGAGTAACTATGTTTGTGAAGTAGCAGTATATACTGAAGTCTTTCCATAACATTGTCCTCTGGGACAATGCAGTGGGGCTGTATCTCAGATTAAAACTTTTAATGAAGTCCTCTAGATACTGTTTTTGACTAGCTAAAATCTCTGGCTATGGATCCAGATTTTTCAAATTCTGTTCTAAACAGCAATATTATACTGAAGTCCTACTATATATAGTTATACATGTGATAACACTCATCAGCAACTTCCCCTACTTTTCCTGAGGTTGTTAAAACTGCAAATAAAGCATGGTACCAAAAGACTATTTTTTTCTACCATTATAGCAATTTCTTTTTTGGGCATGTACTTGACCTTTCTCTCCTCCCAAATTTTTGGTAACAGTAAAAAAGCTGAGGATATATTCCTTACCTTAACTCATCCGTGGGCTGCCCTATAAACCACACCATCCCACTATAGTCATATAAACAAAGAGAAGGCATAAAGGGATCTGGAATGGGTCAGCATCCCAGGCAGTGGAAACCTGGCATCTGAGGGATCCAATGGGCTGACTTCCTGAGACAAAGCTTCAGCCTTGAAGGACCTTCTGAGAACATACCTTATTTGTTACATAACCAGCTGGGCACGGGCTGACTGGATCATGCAGGGAACAGTACAAGAGCAATTCCGGCATGCCTGTATAAACAAAAAAGAACCCCTGAAAGCACTTCCATCAGCAATGACACAGTGCTGTAACTGAGAGCAGCTTCATAATGTGGCTTCATATCCAGCAGGGCAGATAAAGTAACGCTAAAACAGAGTAAATTGCCCACACCCGACCTCAGAATTGTAGGAGGCCTGTCAACATGAATGAAGATTATTTTGAAACCTACAAACCCAAAAGAAGAATTAAACATTCATGTCTAATAACACTGAGTTGCTACAAAGGAAATGTATAACCAGAAGCATGATACAATGAAAAGTGATTAACGAAATATTGACCCTACTTGATTTACTTTGAAGAAAATAACATTAAGTTCATTCTCAATAAGGTACCATCCAAGGTGAACTTGCTACTGGAAAGATGAAATTATACAGCCAACAGGTAACATTATTAATAATAAATGGAGCCTACATCATGGGTCCCTAGGGACAGAATTATAGAAAAACTATAGGACACTGCAAATGGATCTCCTTTTCAGTAAGTTTCATTGACTCAAGATGATAGTTTCTTAGGTTTTTTTAATCAAAAAGACATTCATTTAAAAAAACTGTTTAGTAATCATATGTACTTAAATTTCATATGCCACATTTTCATAGGAAAAAAACAGGATTTTGCTGAAGACCAAAAATATAAAGCAAACAACAAAAATCTCTGCAGTTCTCCACCTTATTTTCTACAATTTCAATTATTATAATTATCTCTAGAAAGCTTATATTAGCTATTTTCACTTAATTATATGCTTGGATATTTTAAAGCCAGTTATTAAAATTGGTCTCAGATCAAGGGAAATGGTATTATATCAATTCCTCTACGGAGATTACAGGCCCTTGTGACAACCAAGTCATCGTGCAGGCTCCCTTAGAAACAGCAAGACTGAATAACCAATGGAAACGGATTTTCAGTCACTTAAGTGAGTCCCAGAGACTGAGGAAAAGCTTCAGAAGAAAACTGTTTGGAGAAGAGTTGGTTCTCTGGCTATCACTGCTAAGCTTTTCCTATAAATAAATGTACACATATACTGGGATTTAAAATCCTATTTCTGGAACAGAAGACAATATTAACATATCAGAATATAGGTGAATATAAACTCTTCATCCTCTGCTGTGTTTTAGGCTCAAACATGACAAGCCTGCTTTGGGTCTTAGGTGTGTTCCATGCAGTCCCTCACCTCTAGGTCTCTGCTCTCCTCCTGGAGCGTCAGCCCAAACCTGTCGACCACCACCACTACACCCACCTCCTAACCTTGCTTACTCCTACTCCTCCTTGACCCACGAGATCTCTATTCTGACCTCCATTCACATGGACTCTATAGCAGGTTATATGTTCCTCCCTCTAGGTTCTCACTATACATGTACCTACTCCCGATCCTGCAAATGCAGTCACCACACTCTGTTAGAACTACCTGTTTATCTTAATGCCAACTAGGCTCTGAGTTTCATTAGGGCAGTTAATTGTTTCCCACTCATCTTTGAATCCCCAATGCCTATTCTTAGATGCTCAATAAATGCATATTATATTTATGATTGAGTAACTGTATACATGAAGAGTCAAAAAACAAAAAGCATCTTCAACCTCCAAATTAATACACCAGAAGGCACACGCAAATAACTTGATTAACTTTTACCTATGAACTTTCCAACTCCTTCCTTATATTCTGCCAAGACTTCATGATGTTCTGCCCTATAAGAAAATAGAAAAATATGTAACATAATAATGAATCATTCTACAGATACTCTATGCAACAACTGAAGCCTCCTCTCCTCAGCCAAATGAGCCACATGACAGTAAGTATAGTCTCAAAACACCAAGTACACATATTGAGGAGTCCCCACTCATTAGGTTGAGTTTATTAGCCAGGACGAAGGTCTTTAATTTGCAAGTGGCTCTGTGAGAAAGAGAACCTAGCAAAGATCAAGGGCTTCAGAATATCTAGATTTTCTTCTTCCCCTTGTTCCTTTAAAATGACTGTTACTAATACAATCTTACAGAGTAATTTGATCAAATAGCAGATTTTTCAATTAGGGATAAGGTCAGTATGTACATGACACAAAATGACCTCACTCTATTAGTTCTGTTACCCTAGAGTAGAACTGGCAAGTACACGTGCAGAGACAGGAAACTCTGAGGCTGGTGCATGAAGACAGCCCTGCGGTCTCAAGTTTAGCCCTGATGGGGCATTATGGGCACCATCACCCCTGGGAGCGGCAATGTAGGCGGTATGGAAAAGCGAAGAAGCTCTAACATGTAGGTCCGGCCTGTGCCCTCCATGTTATGGTCAGATGATGTATAATATTTGATATCTCTCTTCTGATTTCACTATAAAAAGCCTACACATTCTGTATACAGAAGCAAAAAAAGTCTTTCTCTTTACTGCAACTTAGTAAGGAAACCAAGCTGCTGCTAAAGTTGACATGTGAATGATCAGGTCTCATACTTACAGTGAAGATAGTGTAAGCTGAGCCATGGCAGGAACCCTGTGGATTTTATGCAGCGTGTGGTGGGTCAGGTGAGGAGCGGAGCCAGCCTTGGTGTATAGAAGGCAGCCTGGGATGTCCATGGTGCGGTCCCCTGTTTTGCCAAGGTTTTTTATTTTTCCAAGGCGACAGCCATTAACCACCTTGGTAAGATTTAGCTTCATCTTAAAGGGATTCCTCTAAGTCCTGATAAGAAAAGAACATTACATTCAGAAGTTCCATGATGGCCAAAGGCTAAACATTTTTGAAAGAAAGCAACTTACAGAAAAATAAATATCATGTTTCATATACTTCCCAGTCTAGAATTTTTTTAGATATCAGGAATAGGGGGATAGGAAATGACAGAGAGAATAAGGTACCTTTCCCAAAGTCACAGAGCAATATGATGACATCAACCACATTTAAATTCAATCAGGGAAGTTTTGTCTCAGCTGATGAAAACCAAACAAATGGAAGGACAGAAGCAAAGACTAATCATGGGAAGAGCACTCTGAAGCCAAGGCTTACTCTCAGCTTTGAAAATGTGTATACAGAAAGGTCACACTGCTTAAGAAATACTGTTTTGACCTATTTTTTCTTTCTCTGATTTGAGAGGATTCTAGGCAACATAGTAAATCTTCCTAACACGTAATTAAATGAAGAAAACAGGTTCTAAGGCAGCATTCCGCTGTTTATTAAAATATATGGAAGAATATATAGGCTTCACAGGTGGCTCAGTGGTAAAGAATCTGCCTGCCAATGCAGAAGTTCAGGAGGCTCGAGTTTGATCCCTGGGTCAGGAAGATCTCCTGGAGAAGGAAATGGCAACCCACTCAAGTATTCTTGCCTGAAAAATCCCATGGACAGAGGAGCCTGGCAGGCTATACTCCATGGGGTCGCAAAGAGTCAGGCACAACTGAGCATGCATTCATGGAAGAATATATATGAACAAATAAACAGAGATTATCTCTGAGAAGTGGGATTATTTTCCAACCTTGTTCTTTTAAAAATAGAGGTGAGAAACTGTGGTGCATCGATGCAATTCACAAGCAAAGTTGCTTTTACAATTGGAAAGGAAAAATATTTGATTTAAAAAAAAGATACACTTTCTAAATTCCACAGATACAGAGGGGGGGAAAAAATCAGAAAACATTGTCAATTACTTTGTTGGATTGTCTTATTATTCAGTAAAGCAAATCCCAGGCTCCAATTCCTTAAATGCCCTGTAAAACTTGGTAAACAGGCATGGCAGATCATTTGCAAACTTTCACTGGATGTCCAGCATTCTGAAATACCAGTGTCTTTACAGCAAGCACTATATCCTCTCAAATTTTTGCAAGTTAGGCAAGACCCAGTTTTATTAATAAATAAATTAACATGGCTCTCTGAATGGTTCCAACCTTAGATCCTATCCCCTTAAGCACTATATTAAACCACACTGAAAGTCAACCATTGTTTAAAAGATGTTTTACCAAATAAAGCATTATCTATCATGAGTTAAAAGATATTCAGAAATGCAAATATTCCTTTCTTGGGAGTCATAAATTCTTATATTGAAATAAAATAATTAATCCTTGTGGAATTTGGAAATAAGAATAACTACTTTCTATATGGTTCAATAAGTGATTTCATGTTAAACATGAATTATATTGGCAGAAACCAACACAATATTATAAAATAATTACCCTCCAATTAAAAAAAAATTTTTTTAAAGATATGAGTATTTCAGGAAAGGCTGATCAATTTTCTATGGCTCAACCTTCATTATTTCAAGTTATCACAAATACAGACATAAAAATAACTCTGGGGATTTCCCTGGTAGTCCAGTGGTTAAGACTTTGCCTTCCAAAGCAGATGATTTGGGTTCAATCCCTGGTCAGGAAGCTACGATCTCACATGCCTCGAGGCCAAAAAACCCAAAAACATAAAAGAATATTGTATCAAATTCAATGAAGACTTCAGAAATGGTCCACATCAAAAAAAAAAAAAATCTAAAAAAAAAGTCTCATTGGAACCCACACAAATAGAGAGTATTAGAGGCCTTCCATTGTGGCTCAGATGGTAAAGAATCTGCCTGCAATGTAGGAGATGCAGATTCAATCTCTAGGTTAGGAAGATCCCTTGGAGGAGAAAATGGCAGCCCATGCTAGTATTCTTGCCTGGAGAATTCCATGGTGGGCTACAGTCATGGGGTCACAAAATGTTGGACATGACTAAGCCACTTTCAAGGGAAAAAACTTATGCTTTAACAAAAGGTAATATAAAAGCTACTTTTTATAAAACTGTGTTATTACATACTAAAACTGTTAAAATAAAAGGAAGTTTATACCAAAAAATTAAATACATTTACAGGCTAATAAGAATGTAACAGAAAATACAAGAGAAGAGTCATCAGTTTACAAAATCATATTTCTTATTGATTTATCAAATAATACACATAATCTTCTGATTTCGAGTGATAAAAATAGTTTTGAAACTAACAGAGCTCTGAAACCATTTATAGCAAAGTTAAAGAATGTATTTTGCAATCTAAGTTCTAGAGAATTAAAGCAGGGGGAAGCATGAAGGTGAGAAATTCACTTTAAGGTTAATTAATCAACCCTATTATTCTATTAGAATCAACTAACAAGGAACAATAGGTTTTTGAGACAAAAATAAGAATTAATGAAAATTTACTGGAACAAGGTTACTAACAGGGCAAGAACTTAGCACTTACTACTCACACACATCTGAGAATGTAAGAAACTGCACTGTCCTACATATTTTCAGAAAGGCCTAAAGAGAAGAATTTGCTGGTTCCTCCACTTACTCCAAAAATTCTGTCTCATCTAAGTGTTTAAGCTTTGTCAAAGAGTTCAATGTATATACATGAGTTGACCATATAAAAGTAGAAACAGCCTTTAGTGGATAAAACTAGCATGTTTGAAAAAATGAAGTTTAAGACTAGAAGGCTACCAATTTTTATTATTACTCCTCCTCATCAAACCCTTTCATTTTTTCAGTTTATTAATAAATCGGACTGACAAAGCTGCTGACAAGCATAAGACAATGTGCTTTTCCATGTCAAGCTAACTCAATTTCAGATAAAAACAATCTACAACTCTTTAGCAAACCTCTGTTTAACACCCCAGGTAATGAATGATTGCCATTAGACTTTAGAAATGCTGAGAAGAGTTAAGTCTGACCATTACTACCAGAGACGCTGAATGGGAGAGCTCGTCATGAACTTGATGATCCCTCTGCTGTTCCACAACCATGACTCTGAGGCTAAATGAGATTAACCAGAGTCTAGAACCCAGGTCTCTACCACGAGGCCTCTGCTTTTGATTACATCTTTGAAGTGAGAGTAACACAATGTTTGTATATACATATCTCCTTTTGCCACTCTTTCTTCAATCAAAGAAACAGCTTCCTTCATCCTTAACCCAAGGTCAGTTATTACAGGTCTGTGTTAGTTATAGCAGACATCAGCCACTGTGCTCTTAGATGCATGTGCTCTTAGATGCAGAGATGGGTTCTCCTGTGATATGATGTAAAGTTTAATCTCCAAACCTTTAAAGATGAAATTCAATGTCCTCAGCTTAGTGTCCTGAACCCACTAGGTCAGCTAGAGAGAAATACCCACTTGGTTTTCTCCACAGTATGGGACTCTGATGGAATGCACTCACATTCTGCTGTTTAGGGTTTCTTAAGAGTCCTACCCTAAACAGTGAATGGACACAGCATCAAAGGAAAAAGTAAGCGAGGTAAAACAGACAATTGGGTTTACGGAAAAGCATTCCAATAGATAAACTGCTAGTGGTGATTCTCTGTATTGTGAGGATGAATGCAAATATTAAGAAATATGAGGAAAGCATCAGAATGTATTTTACCCAGAAATCAATATTTAAAAAATAACATGCAACTTTGTCTTGCTTTGAACCCAGCTTTCCTCTCCTAATTACTGGTCAATTTGTGGTTAGTATTTTTATAATTGCACCTCTTTTCTAGCGGCTCAAACACAAAAATCTTTTATTACAGAGTAATGTAAATATAATATATACACACATACACATAGTTTTAAAATATGTTCTTGGAGTGATATAATCTACTACTCCAAGCAAAGTTCTCAAGAAACAAACCAACAGTCTCCAAAGTATTAAATGGTTTTTACTTGGTCCTTTTCCTTTTCACTTGTTATAAGTCTCTTCTAAGATATCTGGGGTTACGCTTTTCTTGGTATACAAACATCCACACTTCACTTCCTGGTTAAGTCTTAACCATTAGGAGAGCCATTTGGAAATAATGGTTAGTGGAAAAACACTTAATCACTTTAAGGACAAGTAGTCATACCTTTACAAGGGCTAACCAAGATTCCCTGCACCTGTCGCAGCACTGTACCCGTCTTAACACCTCCACTGTCACATATTTCTCCCTCCCTCTATTCCCTTATGAAAGAAGGGATTTTTTTTTTTTTAATGTTTCTTAATGGATTCTCTACAGACTATCATGGGAAGATGACTTCAATATGTTGAGGGAAAAGAGCAAGCTTAGGTGAACATATTTTTTGCAAAAGAAAAATTGCATATATATATTTATAAATATACACACAAATACACACTCTACACTGTCTGTACGTGCATATTAAAAAGTGTGAAGGACTTCTAAACAATATGGTGCACTGAGCTAACTAAGAGCCTGTATTTTAATAGGCTGGTAGTCTGTTAGAAGTCTCATCTTGTCCATAAACATATGCAATGCTTACATACTAACTGTAATGTTAAGACATAATTTTCAGTCATATTTTCCATTTTGCTATAGTGTTATTGGTGGCATTCACTGAGCTTAATTTACCCGTTGAAGCTAACTACTTTATGATATTGCATAGCTTGGATGTAGCAGAATTTAATCAACCATCACCCTTTCAATGAAAACTCGTTACAGAGCAGGTCCTATGATTGGTGCAGTAGTCTGAGGGCAAAGCTTCTCTGATCTTTCACAAATCTGAAGTCTAGTTTACGTTTCCAATTAGAGGTCTCTGCATACACTGATTTTTACTGGGTACCACACTCTTAATGATTTAGGTACTATTGCTCCCATTTGAGTAAACCGAGGGTCCGAGAGTTATTAAACATGTTTCTTAAGGTCATACGACTACAAAATGACTGGGTCCAAAGCTGCCGATCTAAATCTCTACTCTGCCTTATGAACCTACATATCCCAGCATGGACAGTTCCCGGGAACACCTAGGCTCAGTCAATAACGACGGATTTAGCTTCACTCCATGGGCCATCTCCAGGGACCCCAGACTTCGCGGAGTGCTTAGCTCAGGTGTTCGAGATCGGTCCAACCCTTCCAAGCATCCTGAACAATCTAGAAAAACTTCCGCATGGGAACTTGACCCTTAAACAGACCCTTCCTTCCTGTTGAAAGGAGACACTTTTCTCTCTGAGATGAGGTGAGGCCACACGATTTGGGAGAATCTGGATTTACAGGAGCCAGGACCCACCAGGAGACCCCGAAAATGAAAGACATGGCGGGAGGACAATCAGAGTTACTGCAACACAACCTGGAAGGATCGAGACGCGACGTGACGCGACTCTCTCACAGCAGCCCCCACTCATTTGAAGTAGGGAAGGGAGGTACTTACGTGCAAACCTCTCAACTTTAGGGAACTTGAAACTCCCTAGTTTCTCTCCTTTCGCTACCACGTGTCCAGCTTGCAAAACTCTCTGCCCGAACCACCGCCACCCATGCCAGAGCCAATCAGGGAACACTGCGTCATCACGAGGCGCCAGGAAAAGGCAAAGGTAACTGCAAAGCGAACACTGGTGATTGGGAGGCGGAGGAACCGCTACCGTTGCCATGGGTAACTGAACCGGCTCGTTCCGCCTGGGCAAAGCCTCCTGGGAGTGGTGGTTCGGCTGCGCCCCACGCCTACCTCCCTTGTGGGCAGAGGAACTACAACTCCCACGGAGACTCGGAGGCAGCCTAGGCAAAGGAGTGGTTGTTTCAGCTTTGGCCTTGGTCGGTGCCTGAACCTGGAAAATGTTGCTGGCGCCCCAGGACAAGTCCTCCTCCAGGAAGAGGACGGGGCTGAATCGCTGGAAACAGTTTACGAGAAGGCCGAATCCCACCAAGGTGATCCAATCCTATCGGGAGCTCGTGGGGAGAGGCGGGGAGGCGGGGACCGTCCCTGAGGACAGCTACAGCGCTACCTGCGCTTCCTTCCTCTTCCCTCAGGGGCATCCTTAGCTGGCCGGTCCTAGTCAGGACCGACCCTGTGTCTGCATTGCCCTAATGAAGGGGGCCTAGGGATTTTGGGGATTGGTTGCCTTACGGCTTTGATGGAACCGTCGTGAAAGAACCGTTTCAATCTAACGCTTTTCTCAAAAACCGGAGAATCTTTAATAGTACCCATCCCAGTGAAAAGAATTCCAGAGCTATTCCTTCATCCCACAACGCCTGTTTAGGGAAGTCCCCGCAAGGTTTCATTTCTTCTTCTTCTTCTTCTTCTTTTTTTTAATGTTTTGCAAGTCATGGGAACCTGTTCTTTATTGAAGGGATAAGATTTTCACCTTAAATCCTCTATCTCATATTCCCTTTCCTAGTTTTACATAAAGTTTGTAAAATGAACTCAGGAATGCAAGTGGATATTGAATATATCAATACTTAATTCACTTGAAAATCTTTAAATTCAAGCGGCAATAAAAAAATAGATGTTCTTTATATTTGTCACCTTTTTTGTGCCTTAGCATCCAAAGAGATGGAAAACTGAGAACCCCACTGTAAACTTGAAACGTGTAAATGACAAATGCAATGTCCCAGTGACACGGTGTGTGCTTTTCACAGACTACTTTTAACGTCACAGAAATAAATGTTTTAAATAAATACCAAAGTACTCATTAAAAAAAAAAAAATGTTTTACATGTAAATAAATGGGAGTACCAAATGGAAATCTTCGCTTTCAGCGCCAGAGCAGCTTCACAGCTGTTTTCACCCATAATTTACACCTCCTTAAAAACTATTGTGTAGACATGTGGCCTTTCTGAGGCCACTAGGCAATTGTGCTTGAAGGCTATTCTAAATATACCAGCTAAATAATGCACTGGACATACTCTACTTAGTGAATATCTTGCCCCAGATACTGGAGGGTGCAGATTGGAGCATTTGACTTGGAAACAGCACCTGCTTCTATTGTGTGGGTTCTATAATAGATTGGATCCAAAATAGGTTATGATTATAAACTTGATGATGAAAGGTAAAAACTGGGGACAGTTTTGGGATCCCAAAAGGAAAAATTTTTGCTGCTGATGCTCATTGCTACTGTGTATAGGATAGAAAGGTAAAAACACAATTGAGCTACTTGGGGCTCAATTGTGGTTGAATATGATCAGCTGTTTCTTTGTTTCAGCTACAAAATTATTCAGCAGTACAGCTGCATTAATTAGTTATTTGTAAGGTGCTTTGAAGGGGAAGTGTTATGTAAGTGAAGATAGTATTATACCTTTCCCTCCTCGATGTGTCAGTATGCTAGTTTAAATATTCCCTTTTTTATTTAAAAACCCACCTGAATTATTAGCAAAGCAAATACCTCTCTTTGTTAAGTGACTATTGGAGGGAATTCTGCAAACTTCTGAGAGTTACGAAGAGTGAAGAAGTTGTTCTGTAGATCTGATTTCTAATTTCAGTTTAATATCTGACTGACCTGAGTGGAAATTTATGTGATTTCTGCTTCATTTTCTGCTCTGTAAAACAGTAGATGATTGTTTATCCCTCACTCCACCCCCAAGTTCTTATTGGACCAAACATTATCCCTGCTTTCGGTAAATACAGGTTATTCCTGAAAAGAGAGACCTAAGGAAAGGCACACACCTTTCTCCAAGTAGATTTACTTTCACGGCACTTGAATAATCTGACTAATCAGTACTTATTTGGGTTTTTATAAGGAATATTATACGCAATATTCCTCTATCTTGGCTCTTAACCCTGGGGAGCTTTAAAAAAGTACACGTGGGCCTTACCCCAGACCAGTTAAATCAGAATCTGGAGCTGGACCTTGGTAAGAGGTGGAAAGTGTCAGAAGGTGTTCCAGAAAAGGCTTCATGTTTTTTCTCCTGCTGGCATTCTGTGGTTTTTTTTGTTGCTGAACTTCCTAATGATGCTTTGGGGACAGACTAAGGAACATTTTCTCACATGCTTTAATTAGAAGGACAGATTAAAATGGCAAACTTGATAGATAAATGCACTAATATTCTGTATATATTATCTACAGCCTGTGTTTGACCCTGACAATGTGGAACACTGGATTAAGGTAAGGATATTTCATAATTAAGATAGAAAATTAAGAGTCACACATAATCATGTGGAATAGGAATACTAATAGCTCTCCATTTTGCATATATTTTGCTGTTTTCATTCCCATGGGAATGTGTGTGTGTGTGTGTGTGTGTGTGTGTGTGTGTGTGTAGTCTTAATTTTATACTCTAGTACATTTTCATGATTTTGTTGCTTCTCACAAAAACATGAATGACAAGATAACATCCCTTTCAAATGCCATAAGGATCACATGAAGAGGATTAAAGGACAGGGGAAGAGAAGCCTTAGGAGAGGACACTGTGGACTTCCCCAGATAATTGGAAAGAACATACTGCTGTAGCTACATTGACCTGTGAGACCAATTCAGTAGATAAAAACTGTGCATACATCACAAGTGAGAATCTTCTAATGATGGGAGCAACCCAAAAATGGAGTGGGCACTTTTGTAAAGAGGTGGATTTTCTCTCAATGGAGGTATTCAAGTGTATTCTAAATGGTCACTCAGTGTTAGGACTGTTGAGAAATATATTTGAGCATTTAGTCAGGTGGGGGAGCCGATTGGATTAAATAACCTCTGAGGTCTCTTCTAGGCTTGAGATGTATGTTTCAGTACCAAGTACTATTTGAAAGTACTGTTATACCACTTCAGGTGCCTCCAAGTGTCATTTTGGCAACTTGCCATACTCAACTCATTTGTGCACCACATGTTTCAAAATCATGTAGTATTTTCCTGGGAAAATATCCTTCTGCCTGTTAGTATTTTGAACAGCTGTTACTTATCTAAATTGACAGCCATTATGAGCTCCAGGCCAGATGGGACCTAGGCCCAATTATAATCATTGTTAACCATTTTTTCATGGTTAACCATATTTATTAAGTTTCTAATAATTATAAATATTTAGCCAGTATTTATTAAGTTCCTACTAAGTACTAGCCCACTGTGTTGGGCGCTGGAGGTATAACAGTGCATGGGGCAGGTATAGTTTCTGCCTTTTCAGAGTTTATAGTCTGTGCTGTGTGTATGCTCAGTCACTTCAGTCGTGTCCAGCTCTTTGCAACCCCATGGACTGCAGCCTGCCAGGCTCCTCTTTCCATGGAATTTTCCAGGCAAGAATACTGAAATGGCTTGCCATTTCCTACTCCAGGGAATCTTCCTGACCCAGGGATCAAACCTGAGTCTCCTGTGTCTCCTGCAATGCAGGCAGATTCTTTACCACTGCACCACCTGGGAAGCCCAGTTTATAGTTCAGTGGCAGCTAAACAACTTACTTGAAATTGTTGGGAGAATTAAGGATGTGGTTGAAGTCCCTGGGGTGGAGCGCTCGTACAGATGGGGCCAGGGAAGCTTGCTGGCTCCTGCAGAAGGCCTGACTTAGGAGACAATAAGATGGGTCCACCATGGTGGAGGCTAACCTTAGGGAAGTCCACTCCCCAGACTACGTCAAGCTCAGCTTGTGTGTCAGTGTCGAAAGTTACAGTACCAAACCTTTCCTGGGCTTGATTGTGTGTTTAGTTACCATCTCCTCCAGAGGGGAAGATTTAAGTAAAATAGAAAGATAAAATTCTGCTCTGTACCATTTTCCTCTTTCAAGCAATTATCAGCTAGCTTCACTTGGTTAGATTTTTATCATTCCTCTAAAACTTCTGCAGTAGCTCTTTCTCCATCATACCCTCAAATCATCCCTGTCTTGAAAAAAATCATTTAGTCTTCATTTGATCCCACAGTCATTTTCTTTTCTAGTGTCTTTGGACTGGACTAGTATAGTCTAATACAGCCTAGACCCCTTGCTTTTGTGTTCTTATTGTCCTCTTGTGTCCACAATTATTTTCTTTCAGTTTCTAGTTCTTACCACTCACAGAAAGTTGTCATAAATGACTTCCTGACTAACTACAGTGGTCTCTTCTTTGTCCTTTTAGCTTTTTAAGGTTATTTGATACATTTATCACTTTTTTATGCTAGAAATTCTCTCCTCCATTATCTTTTTGTGACACTGTTTCCTCTGGTTTCTCTTAATACCTTTCTGTTCACTTCTGTAGCTTTTTAAGGTTATTTGATAGTTATTACTTTTTTATGCTAGAAATTCTCTCCTCCGTTATCTTTTTGTGACAGTTTCCTCTGGTTTCTCTTAATACCTTTCTGTTCCCTTCTCTGTCTTCTTGTCTGTTCCCTAATATTATCCAAACTCTGAGTATACCTTAAACAGTAACAACTCTAGACTAAGACTTCCAAATCCACTTGAGTGGGCCACTCGTTCAAAATGGAAGAGGGGGACATATATGGGAAGGACGTGGAACGTGGTGAAGATGCTAAAAGGGCTTCCCTCGGGACAGAAAACGAAGATCACTCAGTAGAACTGGAACTTGTCTAAAGCAGGGAACCACTATTTTTTGTGATACCAAGAACTCATAGATCAGATTCATTCAGGCTTGAAGGTTTTCATTGGAGAGGCAAGGAACAAGACATTTGAGGCTTCTGTAAGATAGTAGGTGAATATCCACACAAAGTAGGAAAGGGAGGGGACCCTGTAAAGGATTCATAGGTTGGGAGAAGGAGGGGGCATACGGTGACTAGGGGCCTTGGTTAGGTGCAACACCACTGTATGGATTAGGAGGAGTCAAAAAAGGAGATGAATAGGAGTGATGGGGGGAGAGGGGGTTATCAGCATTTGATTTGAACAATGGGAAATTTTGTGACATGGTTGGGGATGACCATGTCATTGAGTTGCTAAATGCAGTTGAGGAGAAAGCTGTTGGCATACAAGATATCAAGCAAACTTTGAGGCTGAAATGTTGTTAAGTTACTCTCAGTTAAAGTCACTTAGAATCAGGCAGATGCTTGGTAGAAATGTGAATCTTGGTGCTGGTCACTCAAATGCAACAGTCCATCTCAACTTACAATTCATCTTCATCCTGATTTGATAGAATGACTCATCTTCTTACTCCAGTGTATTTGGCTACTTTGAGCTTTCTAAACATTTCCACTGTGTCAGTTCTCTACTCTTGGAACCTTCGGTAGTTCTGCATACTGTCATGTAAGTAAGTGTTAGTTGTTCAGTTGTGACTCTCTGCGACCTTACAGACTATAACCCACCAGGCTTCTCTGTCCATGGAATTTACCAGGCAAGAATACTGGGGTGGATTGCCATTTGCTTCTCCAGAAGATCTTCCCAATCCCAGGATAGAAACCAGGTCTCCTGCATTGCAGGCATATTCTTTACCATCTGAGTCACCAGGGAAGAAGCAGTAAATTCTAGGGGGGCCTCTGTCAGTCTCCCTGGAATATCAATCTCCCTGTAACAGCCCTTTTACTCTTATACTGCATGACTCCTATCAGGCCAGTCTCCTTCCCCTCTATCAGGTAAGTCTTTTGCTTTTTTTAAATGATGATCTCCAGCTCAGAATACCCTCTCTCTAGGAGGCCAGTCCACATCTTTCCCTTAAATCTCAGCTTGAGACACCTCTCTCAGTGAACAACTACCCCTCACTCCCCTTACCCTCATAATCCTATATTCTATACTCCTTTCCTTGGAGTTAGGTTGGCATTCATACACACAGATACAGTGTCAAGCATTTACTTGTATGCAGAGTGATTAAGTAGACATGAGTTTGAGCAAGTTCCTGGAGATGGTGAAGGACAGGGAAGCCTGACATGCTGCAGTCCATGGAATTGCAAAGAGTCGGACATGACTTAGCAAATGAACAACAACAGCATCAGTAATTAAGAAAGAATTGGTCACTTTCAAAAAATACATTACTCAGAAAACTATTACATATGGATATGCAGTTTGCACATGGGAATTTGTCAAGAAACTTGTGTATGTACCTGCCAGCCTTGAGGAAATGAAGGAGTGCATTATAGAGCTGCCATTTCTGCATCAATGGCAACAGGCTACACAGGGTCTGTAGTGGGTAATGTAATCAGTGTGTGCCATGGGACATAAAGAACACATGTTAAGCATTTATATGATCATAGGACTCACTGAGACAGTTCCTTTACAATTTACATCCTTATAGCATAGTCAATGAGTAAGAAACTTTGGAAGATGTTCAGTTGTTTTAATCACCTTCTATTGCTTTAAGACTGTTCTTAAGTTGTTTATTGCACACATGGCACATGTAACCAAAACTAAAGTGAACTCTGGTAACAGAAGCTTTTAGTTTTGTTTCCCCCTTATTGTCCACAGCCCTGGGAACAGAGTTAGCCTTTAATCAACTTGTTTTAAAAAAAAAAGTTGCTAAATAGACACATGAGACCTCTCCAGTCTCTTATGTATTTAAATTGAAAAAAAGAAATGGTAAGGATGTAATGTTTTAAAACAAGGAATTACAGAGATTATTTCTAATCCTTACTATCATCTAGCATTTTTTCCCTCAAAGCTTCATTTTAAGTGATAGCCCAAACATTTTCTTTCTTAGAGCCAAGCACGCATTTCTCTTTACTCCCTGACTTGTCAGTACCAGACTCTGCCCTTCTTTAGTACCAAAATCAGTCTTCCTTCTCCTGTCTCCAAGCTCTCTTTGTCCTAAGAATCTGCAGATTCCAACTCAGGTGAGATGATGTGTCATGGAAAGTTATTTCGTTCACCCACAGCCTGAAGAACTACATCTACAGCCCTGTTTTTGTTCTTTATATTTTGTTTGTGGATCTTGGTTTAAAAAAATTAGAGTTGATTTATTTATTTGTACATTATTTACAAATATGTGTCTATGTATGTATACAGATGCAGACACATACAGTATATATGAAATTTATCTCTCTGCCTTAGAATTTAAGGACCTTAAAAGGAAGGACTAGGTACCAAGCCTATCTTGACTTGGGCATGTTGGAGGCTCTGAAAGAGAACACATCTCTCCAGAGTGACCTCATGAAGGTCAAGGATACTTTCTTGACACTCTGCCTGTTTAGACCATTTTTATTCTGATTCATATTTTATCCCATATGTTCTATTTTGACCTCTTTTTCAAGTTATCTTGATGTTTCAACTTTATTCCTCTGCTTCTAATTCAGACTTAGTATATGAAATCCTTAAAAATTTAAAAGATCAAGCCTATGACAAGTTTTGAGCATGCAGGTAAACCAAAATATCAAGAGTTTGCCCACCTCTGCCAACCCCTCCCCCATTTCTGTGAATTTGGCCATGTTTTTACTAGATTTTCACTGTTGAGTTAACATTCTGAATTACTACAGTTCAGTGACCTTTTATCCCAATTTTATTAGTTTGCCTGATATATGTATATGGGAAGTTTCTTTCAGGTGTAGGAATTTGAAGTGTGGCTACCTGCTTCTGGTTCACATTCATATGCAAGTACTAGTGGCATGGAAACTATTAATAATAAGCGATTGTATACTTTTTTAAACATCCAGGTGACAGGATCCCATGACTAATGCTCTAAACAAAAGTTATCTAAAGCTTAAACCCCCTTTTGTTCAAATATAAACTTCATAAGCACCTGTTAAAATTTGGTAAAATGCTGCAATTAATTTCATGTTTAATGAGTGAAATTATTTGGGGTGGATGTTTAAACCTCAAAGTATCTTTTAAAATGGAAAAAAGGAAGTATCTTGGTAGTTGGTAGAAAATCGGAATCTTGAATAGGAGAGAAATCTTCTAACCCTGAAGAAAGTTGTCATCTTGGTGGATTTTTTTTTTTTTTTTTTCTTTTAAAGAGAGTGAAGAAAGCTTCTGAATTTGCAGTTTCTCAAGTATTTTCTGCTGGAAATTCAGATTTATCCAGAAGGCTTTGGGGCCAACTTGTAGATTTGGAAACACCTGAGCAAATAGAAGATCATGAAGAAGTCTACACAGAAGGTAAGAGAATACGTTGGGAGTACAACTTACTAAAGCATAACTCATAATGAATTTCAGAGTACAGAACGAAAGTGTTTCTTTCTCTTGTTCTTAATTTTTGTTTGCTTCTACTTTCCTAAAGCTAATTTACCCTGGAATTACTTCCAGTAAGGTTATATTTAAGGCCTGTTCTGTCTCTTGAAATAGAACCACATCCAGAGTCAGTTTTGACATAACACTGTTATCTGGTAAGTATAAGATACTGATCTTGTGGTACCAAGGGCAGCTTGTTAACTTGATCTGGTATCATCCAGATAATTTGATCACAAGTTTATAAATCAGCTTTGTTCCTTAGGAAAGGAGAAAGTGTTTACTCCTCTGGAATCAATATTGTAGTTACTGATGCCCTAGGGAACTCTACTGTTTGGGGATGAAGAGATCAAGAGGGACCAGCAAAGATGACTGGAAAGGAGAGGCCCTTGAGGTAGGAGGAAAGTCAGAGTGCCATATCCTGGAAGCCAGTTTTCATTTGAATTATTTATGTCTCCAGTTTTTCAGATTATTTCTTCATTTATTCAACCTATACATTAAATTGTTACTCTGATGAGGAACACATGTAAATCTATGGCTGATTCATGTCAATGTATGGCAAAAACAACTACAATATTGTAATTAGCCTCCAACTAATAAAAATAAATGGAAAAATAAATAAATAAAATAAAATGTTAAAATAAATAAATAAAAATAAATTGTTACTCTGTGCCAGGTACTATTTTAGGCTTTGGAAGAGCAAGTTATGAACAAAGGGTGAAGTTCCTGCTTTCATGGAGTATGCATTCTAGAATGGGAATAAAGTGCTCGCTTCGGCAGCACATATACTAAAATTAGAATGGGAATAAAGAAAATGAAAAACAAAAGGTCAGATAATGATAAGTCATCCGAGTTTGGACCTAAATAACAATAAAGAGCCATGCGAGCTGTGATGGCGGAAGAGCATCCCGGGCATTGGGAAAGGTCACATTAAGAGTTAAAGTACAGGTTTGGTGTGCTTGAGGGACTGAAGGAAGACCAGTGTTGCTGCAGCTTCCCAATGGAGAAAACTTGCAGAAGGGCCTTGTAGGCCTGGGAAAAGAATTTAGAGTTTATTCTGAGTATGAGCAGATATCATTGAAGAGGTTTTTTTAATTAATTATTATTTTAACATCTTTGAAGGGCTTTAAGCAGAGGTACAGTAGGACCTTTTCTTAATATATGAAGACTGAATTACAGGGCGGGAAAAAGGAGACTAGTGAGAGACCGTTATAGTGGTCTGTGTGTGCTCTGATGGCACTTGGTCTTGGGTAGTTGGTGGTACTGGAGATGGCGAAAGGAGATATATTCAGAAATTGGCAAAGCTATGTCTTACCCTATGCATTCTCCTACCTCATCAATAGAAATACACAATATACTTTAGTCACTCAAGATTTCCGAGAAGTCCTGCATTAAAAAAAAAAAAAGTTTACTTACCCCATTTCCCAAGTTTCTTAGACCTGGACTTTTTTTATCTTGAAATACATGTTAATATCCTGAGAAACTTTAGAGACTACTAGTGGATGAATAAAACATGGTTTTCAAAGGTTTATATCCTTTTTTTGCCCCTCTCATCAACCGTCTGTTAATATTCAGTAAGAACTAGTGATCTGGGGAACACACTTTGAGAAACTCTACTTTAGGGTGGGCTTCAAGCCTCTGATCCAACATGAAGTGTTCCTACAGTTGAACCCTTCAAGAGTCTCCTTCTCTTTCATTGTCTTTTTGGAGCACTTCATTGTAAATCTCTCCTTACTAATGAATGGCATTTAGTAGATACAAATTATTTTACACATAGATTATTGTATATGTAAATGTTCTGCTCCACTTCTCTACTTTCCTCTGAAAGCCAATAGTGTCTGTTGCTAGCATACGTTATACACTTAGTTTCTACCACCTTGATTCATTTTTTTCTACTTTACATTTCATGCCTTCCTTTCTATGTTAAATGTCTTTTAGCATCATTTAACATTTGGAAGCACTCCCTTCCCTTAAAGGTGTGCAATAATGATAATAACCATGATGAAGAATGCTAAAATAGACATTTTTCTTCTTTGAAAATCCCCTTACCCTCTCTGCAAGAGCTGTATGGTAATGATGATAATGAAGTTAATGCTAAATTTTCTCTCATGCCCCTACATTTAAGAAGATTTTCTTGATGTTACTAAGAAAGAAATGCAAATGGAAGTTGGCTTCCAAAATATCACACTCCAGTTTTTCTCCTCCCTCAATTTGGGTCTCTCCTTCCTAGTTGGCTTGCCTGGTTCTGCCTTAGCTGTTCAACCCTTAGAAGCTAGAGTTCCTCAGGGCTTAGTCCTTGCACCAGTTCTCTATCCACCTTCCTCCTTTGGCAATCTCATCCTCTTCTGTCTCTACATAGTATCTGTATGCTGACAACACCTACGTTTATTTCTTCAGCTTAGTTCTGTCCCTTGCAACCGAGATAATATAGCCAATACCTTCTTGAATCCCTATTTGAATATCTCATAAGCATCTCAAACCTAACTCATCTAAAGCTGAATTCCTCATCTTCCATTCAGATATACTGCTCCCTTTTTGTTCCCTGTCTTGGTAAATGACATCTCCGTCCTGTAGTTGCTTAGGCCAAAAAGTGTATAGGTTTCTTTCTCTCATATCCCAAATTCAGTCCATCAGCAAATCATGTCACCTTCACCTCAAAACATTATTTTCTAGAATCTGAGCATGTTTAATACTACCACTTCAGGTCTAGGCACCATCACCTTTCTCCTGGATATTTGTATCCCAACTGGTGTCTCCTGCTTTTGTGCTTGTCCCCCTACAGTCTGTTGTAACCTAGCAGTCAGAGTGATGCTCTTAAAATATGTCACCTCTTTGCTTAAAAACCTTCTGTGACTTCCCATTACATACAGAGTAAAAGCCCAAGTACATCGAATGATGTCAAGACATAGAAAAAAATGGTTTTCAACCTTAGCACTGTTGATATTTTGGGCCAGATAATTTTTGTGTTGGGGCTGTACTGTGCACTGTAGGGTGTTCATTGGCATCCCTGGCCTCTCCCAGTTGTCAGTTCAGTTCAGTCACTCAGTCATGTCTGACTATTTGCGATCCCATGGACTGCAGCATGCCAGGCCTCCCTGTCCATCACCAACTCCCAGTGTTTACTCAAACTCATGCTCATTGAGTTGGTGATGCCATCTCACCATCTCATCCTCTGTCATCCCCTTCTGCTCCCACCTTCACTCTTTCTCAGCATCAGAGTCTTTTCAAATGAGTCAGTTCTTCACATCAGGTGGCCAGATTATTGGAGTTTCAGCTTCTGCATCAGCCCTTCCAATGAATATTCAGGACTGTTTTCGTTTAGGGTGGCCTGGTTGGATCTCTTTGCAATCCAAGGGATTCTCAAGAGTCTTCTCCAACACCACAGTTCAAAAAGCATCAATTCTTTGGTGCTCAGCTTTCTCTATAGTCCATCTCTCACATCCATACATGACTACTGGAAAAACCATAGCTTTGACTAGAGGGACCTTTGTTGGCAAAGTAATGTCTCTGCTTTTTAATATGCTGTCTAGGTTGGTCATAACTTTTCTTCCAAGGAGCAAGCGTCTTTTTATTTCATGGCTGCTGTCACCATCTGCAGTGATTTTGGAGCCCAAGAAAATAAAGTCCGTCACTGTTTCCACTGTTTCCTATCTATTTGCCATAAAGTGATGGGACCAGATGCCATGATCTTAGTTTCCTGACTTTTGAGTTGTAAGCCAACGTTTTCACTCTCTTCTTTTACTTTCATCAAGAGGCTCTTTAGTTCTTCTTCATCTTCTGCCATAAGGGTGGTGTCATCTGCATATCTGAGGTTATTGATATTTCTCCCGGCAATCTTGAGTCTAGCTTGTGCTTCATCCAGCCCAGCGTTTCTCATGATGTACTCTGCATATAAGTTCTAATAAGCAAAAATGGCTCCAGTTACTGCCAGATGTTCACGGGGAGGCAAGTTCACCCTGGATCTAAAACCACTGCTCCAACCCTGATTCCTGTGATACTTCTTCCACCTCATCTCCAGCTACCCTCACCTCACTCATTCCTCCAGCCATTCCACCTTCATGCTATTTCTCCAGTACCCTAAACACTTTCCAGCCTTAGGGACTTTGCACTTGTTTTTTTCTCTGCATGGAATCATGTTCCCTTACATAGCCATATGGCTCACTCCCTCACCTCCTTCCCTTCTTTGCTCAAATGTCTTCCCAGTGAGGCCTCCTTTGACCACCCAATTAATTTAAAACTATCAACACCTGCCTTCCATTTCTTGTACACCATTTCTCTTTCTCCTGCTCTGTCTTTCTGACTTGTTCATTGTCTCTCTTCCCCAGTTAGAATGTAAGCTTCAAGGTGGTAGGTTTCATTTTTTCCTGTTTTGTTCACTGCTATACTCCCAGTATCTAGAGCAGTACTTGACACATGATAATGCTCAAGTAACATTTATTGAATGAATGAAGATAGCAAATGAAGAAAGTCTCTGAAGTAACCGAAATATTAAAAAGATGTTTTTGTCTTATTGATAGCTCAGGAATTGGTCAGTGACTGGTTAGACACCAAACTTAAGCAAGAACTAGCAAGTGATGGGGACAGTGATGCTAAAGACACTGTGTCCAGTGTCCCTCCTGTGCCAGAAGCCAATGGACATTTGAAATATGACAGGTTTGATGGTAAGAACTTACCTGATTGTTCTAAGCTTTAACATCAATGATGGTTCCAAGAAATCTTTTTAATTGTTCTAAATAATAAATAATATGTTATTTGACTTTTCTGTGTTTTGCTTAGTTTTGTAATTGGTTTTAAGTTTTCTTGATTCACTTTAAGTTACTTATCTATATGTCAGTAAATTTGCGGTGATTTTTAAAAATTAAAATATTATATTATTTGTAATTCTTCTTATGCTTGGGCTTCCCTTGTAGCTCAGTTGGTAAAGAATCTGCCTGCAATGCAAGAGACCTGGGTTCAGTTCCTGGGTTGGGAAGATCCCCCGGAAAGGAAATGGCAGCCCACTCCACTATTCTTGCCTGGAGAATCTCATGGACAGAGGAGCCTGGCAGGCTACAGTCCGTGGCATTGCAAGAGTCAGACACGACTTAGTAACTAAACCACCATGATTATAACAGCAATTAATGCTGATTAAGAATGCCTCTTTCCATATATTATTGGATGACCATTTACTTTGATGGCTGTTTCAATGTTTTACCATATTTAAACATTGGCATACCATTTTGTATTTACAAAATGTTTCAAATCTCTTTATAAGGAAGGTTATTACTTGTATACAGAGCTAGTATCATACAAGGTAAATAGCTAACTCGTGAGGATTCCTCAGTTGTACTCCAAGAGTCTAAGATATTTTCTCTAAGCATAAGTGTAGACATAGTGATGGTGGTGGCAGCTCCCCTTGCATGACTCAGGCACCCCTGGTGAACTCATCTTTTAGCATTTCCCTTGTTTAGGACTCCACAGTCATAAAGTCATGAGCTTTTAAAATTAAGGGACTCCTCAGGATCACCTAATCTGATTTACTCTCTTCACCCCCTCAGACAGAGGTTCTTCCAAAGTGTCCCTTACATGGGATAATATAATCTCTGCCTGAACACTTCCAGGATAGAGGGCCTGCACTCTGGGAAGAGCCTATTCAGCTGTTTTGAGGTTCTAATATTCGTAAATTCTCTCTTTTTTAGGAAAAATTAGGATATTATCCTCAACTTTTACCCTTTAGTGTAACAGAAAATATTGATATAATTTTCTCTCTCTCTCAAGAATAGTCTTCTCTTTTTCTGTGGGAGTTGTAATCATATCTGAACCTTCATATAGGTCAGTGTTCCTAGATTAAATAGCACCAGTACTCTCAGAAGTTCTTTATATCACATTGCTTCAGATATACTGATTGCCACTTTTATATATTTTTCTAGTTTAGTGATGTTGTTATTAGAATGAAGCATTTTAGTATGTAGTATTTATTCTAAAGTGTGTCTGAAATTTAAAGAAACTGCTACTTTCTTTCATATGGTGCTAATAGATCTAGTTATATCTTAACTCAGATTTGTTATTACCTTCTAGTACTATACCAGTCCTCACTTATCTTATGCTTGTAGTGTTACTTTTTGGGGGGATCAAAACACTGAATGAAAATATTAACTAGCCATTAAAAAAAAAGTTTATCAAAATTATTAACTAACATGATAATCTCAATAGGTAAAGAAAAAATACTTGGCAAAATCAATTCCTGATTAAAACTCAGCAATCTAGTAATAAAAGGTAAATTCTTCAACCTGAAAAAAGGCATTTATACCCATGACACATACAGAAAACAAATACCAAAATGGCAAACATAAATCTTACTTTATCAAAAATTATATTACTTGTAAATGGATTAAACATTCCAATCAAAAGATGTAGACTGACAGAATGAACTTATAATTATTACCTTACTATATGCTGTTCCAAGAGACACAATCTAGAGTCAAAGACACAAATAGGTTGAAAGTAAAAGGATGGAAAAAGATGTACTATGCAAACAATAACCATAAAGGAGTGACAGTAGCTTACTAATCTCAGAAAAAATAAGCTCAAGATAAAAAAATTGTTACTCAAGACAAGGAAGGGCATTCTGTGGTAATAAAAGGGTCAATCCATCAAGAAAACATAACAAGGATGAACATATATATACCTAGAAATAGAGCCCCAAAGTAAGTGAAGCACAAACTGACAAAATTAAAGGGAAAAATAGATCATTCAGAAATAACACTTGGTGACTTTAGTACCCCATTTTTGATAATGCATAGAATTAAATAGAACATCAGCAATAAAAATATTCAGTATCACTAGGCATTAGGAAAAAGCAAATTAAAATTACAATCAGTAGTAACTATGAAACTATTAAAATGGCTTAATTAAAAAGCTGATCATACCAAGTTTTGGTAGGGATGTGGAGAAACTGGAGCACTCCTACACTGCTGGTAAGAATGAGAAATTGTATAACCACTTTGGAAAATGGTTTGACAATTTCTTAAAAAGTTAAGCATATACTTATCATATGATCCAACTATTCCACTCCTAGGCATTTTCCCAAGAGAAAAGAAAGCATATATTCATACAAAGACTTGTACACGAATGTTCATAACAACTTTATTTGTAACAGGCAAAGTCTGAAAACAATCCAAATGTCTATTCCAGATGAGAAAAATGAATTGATGGTGGTATGTCCATACAGTGGAATACTACTCAGCAGTAAAAAGGGATATACTATTGATACAACAACATGAATGAACCTCAGAATAATTATAGTGAGTTTAAAAAAGCATGACCAAAAAGAATACATAGTATATAATTTAATTGATACCAGATTCTGGAAAACATAAACTAATCTTTTGGCAGAAAGTAGGGCTGGGGTTATCTTTGGGATATGGCAAAGAGCATGGGAAGAACTTAGAGGAAGAGATTGCACATCAGCATGAGGACCCTTTTGTAGCTGACAGATAAATTCATTATTTTGATTGTAATGATGTTTACTGGTATCTATATATGTCAAAACTTACTGTAGACTTTAAATATTTACAAGTCTATTGTATGTTATTTATACCACAGTAAAGCCTTTTTAAAAAGAGCTCTGGAGTCATCAAGGATGTTTAAATCCTTGAAATACAAATGTAAAAGTAGTATCTTTTAAATTTGGCAGTGAGGGAGTTGTTAGTGACTTGGGTGAAGGCAGTTCCTCATGAGCAGAGGTTTTTTCCTCTTAGATGAAGGTAGCTGCTGAGGGTTGTACTCATCCAATTGGCATTATCAGTTACTATTTATTGAACTCACAGCTTTGTATTTTTATTGTACCAGGATTATTTATATAAATATGGAAATTATACTAAAGTTAAATTTAAAAAACTTCTTTTGATTTTCCTTTTTTTTGTTGTTGTTCTGTTTCCCCCAGATTTATGTGGTTATTTGGAGGAAGAAGATGAGAGTACCACTGTTCAAAAATTCATAGACCATCTGCTCCATAAAGACGTGGTGGATTCTGGGATATTGGAAGATCTTGGAATGAATGAAAAGCAAGACAAGAAGTGGCAGAAGGATCCTCGTCTTACGATGGAGATGAGACATAAGCAGGTGGGAGGGAAAAGCAAAATTAAAATGGATAACAGGAAGCAATCTTGGTGTAACACATTTAATAAGCTTAAATAAAGACTTAGGCTTTATTGTGAAAAAGGGTGCCATCTGTGGTTTGGTTAGAAAGAATAAAAATAAAATATAAGAACTTCAGAGGAAAAATAATGCTCATAAACTGAGGATAGGAAACAATTTAAGAAAACCAAAAAGAGGAATAATTGATTTTGACCAAGAGAGTGGTGAGCTAAGCTTTATTAGTTTGGATGTGGTACTTCATATTATAAATATGTAGATTGGGTTTTGCTCAAATTTGATTTTTGAATTGCAATGTGAAGATATTAATATCATGAATATTCTGGTGAATGTTATAATGATAATTCTTTTCTAGATGGTGGAAAAATTTACTCATTTTGTGACTATAATTTGGAAGGGAATTAAATCTAGTTCATCTGTTTTGAATTAGAAAGGCATATGGAAACTTTCTTTTCTCCAAAGGGGATAGTAGGTTATAGGGAAAAGATTCATCTCAACACTTTGTAGAGGAGCTTCAGGAAATCAGAATGGCCAAGTCTTTTCCACATGTCCAGAACTAAGACCAGACTAGAATTAATGTCTGTATATGTGTATGCTGTCTTTTTGTAATACTGAATTTCTGATTACTTTAAACCATAAGTTATGCTGAAGCAGCACTAAGGATGTTAGAGAAACTGGGGTAGAAGTATGAGCTTGGTTTGAATTTATGATGAAAGATGGGGAAATGGCTCATTAAGAGCCATTAGCTAGAAGTCTTATCACAAATAGAGAATAAGATAAGGGTAAAGTTAAGTGAAACAGGAAGGAAAGGACCACTGTTTAATTCATAGCTTGTAAGCCTCTAAAGAATTAATGAATTTGAAAAAAAAAATGATTGTGCTTATTCAGAAATGTCTGTGAAGTTCGTGATTTTGATTTCCAAATATGATCCAGAATCACTGATAAATTTAAATAAAGGTAGAATTGAATAAAAGGTCATGTTTCTGAAGTCAGTAAATCACTGTTCTAGCCTTTACAAAGTAGCCTATCAAAAATACCCTTATCCTTTCTTAAATTATAATTAGCATTATAATTTAGACAGAGCCTAAATAAATAACAGTAATGTATACCTTGGAAGATCTTTCGGATAGGAAATCATTACTAAACAAGAATCCAGAACTTGGCATGCAACCCATTCGATTTCAATTTTTTCATGGTGCAAATAATTCCCAAATTGTCTGGGGTCGTCTTTCCTGACTTCATTTAAAACTTTGTCTTTGCCATTACCCAGTAAACAAATGAACTTCGCCTCTTTTTCTGATAAACAGTGGGGTTCTGGGCCAGCATGTTTCAAAGTAGTTGTATTCTGAACTTCAAAATGTGTTCTTAGGTTTTGCATATCCCTTTCTACTTGAAAGGCTGCATCTCAACCTTGATGTATTCTCTTGAAGGTAAAAGAAAATCGCTTAAGACGTGAGAAAGAGCTGGAGCGCCAGAGAATTGAAAAGACCCTGAAAAAATCGGCCTTCTTAGAGGCTCAGTATCTGGTGCAAGAAGAGAAGAAAAGGAAGGCTCTAGAGGCCAAGAAAGAGGAGGAGGAGATTCAAAGGGAGATGGTAAAGCTGCGGAGGGAGATAATTGAGAGGCGACTTACAGTGGAAGAAGCATGGAAAATGTAAGCCAGCTGTGATAAGCAGCGTGAAGTTTTTTTGTTTAAGCAGTCATTTTGTAAGTACTCTAAAGTTCTTTAAAATGTACCAACAATGCAATAACAAAACACAAAAGAGAAATCAACAAGTTAGCTATTTTTATTTTTCCATGTTTCTTCCTGGTCTTGGTTCCTTTGGGTACTTAATTGAAACCATAAAATACATTTAATTTGTCTTTCTGCTTGTTGTAATTACCACATTGCCTGGAGTCCTAAGGTGTGTATTTTACTCCATTGAGTTCCTATACCATAATTTATGTAATGACCTCCACTCCTCATACAGGTAAGCATTTCAGCTAATTTCAGATTTTTCACCAGTATATAGTTCAGTGAGCATCCTTAAGTGTAGAGTGTTTTCATTCTTTTGAATTATGTTCTTAGGTGTGTAATTACTGAGTTAAATGGTATATACTTTTATGACTCTTGAAACATTGCCAAATTCATTTCCCATTGGGTTGTACTTATTAACATGATTGCTGGCAGTGGGTTGCACTCAGCATTGGGGGAGGTCATCACTTTTCAGTATTTTTACACTTCTAAGAGGTATCCTGTTGGTTAGTTTGCATCTGTTTGTGTACCTGAATGTTTTTAAGGTTGAAAATGTTTCCTTATGCACATTTACTAATTTTGCCTCATTTTGTTGTGAATTGCCTCAGTGTCCCATCTTCGGATAATCATACAGAGTCCCCATGGCCTTACTGCCACTGATAAAGAAAAAAATATCTGACAAAAGAGGAAAATCAAAATAGTCCTCACAGGATATAGTACTGCTGTGTATCTTCAGGCAGAGAATAGCTTCATAAATGAAATCTCTAACATATTTATTCTGAGAAACAGCACTGATGCATAAACTGCAGAAGCCTAAGGACAACGTGCCCGAAGCGCTTGAATACTCAAACTGAGAGGCCAGGAATACCTATTAGATAATCCCTTCCACCCCCATCTGCCTATGCAACATTCCCCCCTGTGTTCCTGATTGCTCTCATCCCACCCAATTTAAAACAGCTCAGCAATGGATGTGCGTTTCATTCTTTCAAGTGCCAGGCTCAGGCCTCCTCCAGATGCCATTCCTTTTAGAAAGCAATCACCAGTGTTTTAGTGAGTTCTTGCTAAGGTCAACCTTGCTCTTCAGATTCCTCTCAAGCCCTGACAAATCTAGGCTGACCTAAAATAAATTGTGAAAACAATTTGTATTTGATGGTAGGCAGAAGTTCTGCTCACAGTGGGCACTCCACAGACGTTCACTCACCAGACATTTCTCTTAAAAGTTAGAAGCTTATCCACGGATATAGTGAGACAGGGAACATGCAGTCCTTCTAGGTGGACAAACTGATTTAAACGTTCCAGAAAGCAATTTGGCAATAAACTATAAGAGTCATGAAAAATGTTATTATCACTTGACCTGGAAATTCCAGTCCTAGGAAAACTACCCTAAGTAAATAATCAGAAATCCAAATATTTATACACAAAGATAGTGAAAATAACATTATTTATAGTATTAAATATTGGAGAAATAAATACTAGTTGTACAATGAAATAGCACTGACTTATTATCAGTGTTTTTTTCTCGGTAGAAATATGTAAGTGAACGTGCTGACCACTACACTACGGAGATGTTGCCTGGGTAGAAATATGGTTGTCCTTTATACCTCTCCAATTTTTCACAGCGAGCAGATACTGCTTTCATAACAGATACATATTTTGATGTTACTTTTAAAAATTAGATCCCTGGTATTAGTATTAGAACTGTATTTCTTTTAATGCCCACTGTGATCTGCCTGTAACTATCTAATATAACACTGTTATGGCATTAGTAAGTTGGGAAAGTCAGTAAAATGTTATTGTTGGTAGGGCTTTCTAATTTATTTGTAAAGTAGCCTAAATCTGTTCCATTGAATAGTTTCAAAAGTGTCTTCTCTAAGAGGTTTATTAATTACAAAGGGAAAAATAGCAACTTTACACTGGAAAAGCTACCTTAACCAAGTGATGGTTCGTGTCCCCAGTAATAAGATATAACTGTGTGCTCCCATAGGATATATGATAATTAATGAATAAATATCTTTAGATTATTCTGGCATCCCTCTCTCAATTTGAGTTTCCACAACTGTAAAGTGAAATTCAGAGAGACTAGGTGAATCTCCAGAGTTTTCACAGCTGGTTTGTGGCAGAGCCTATGAATCCTGTTTCCTGGCAGATGCTCTCTCTACTACATCACTGATAAAATGTATACCTTATACACTTACACATACCTGTACAGTTTAATACACTCCAGTAAGAAGGCAATGGTTAAGAGCTGGCTTGGATTGGTGAGGGTAAAGGGGTTACCTGAAAGAGAAAGAAAAGATAGGTGGGTGAGCAAGAGAGAACCAGAAATTTGAGCAACAAAGTTACTAAGAGATTCTTGTTAACTTCCCTGAAGTCCTTTTCTTCTTTGTTATTATGTTCTATTTTTTCTCTTTTCAGCTATTTTTAAATTAATATAAATTCCATTCTCTCCTTATTCAGTAACACCTGATTCTTTCGTTATTTTTCTTCCTAGAAACCTTGTAAAAGCCTTATGATAAAAATTTCACTCCTTTCTTACCTGAGGGTCCTATTTAATCTCCTCTTGTGAGAAGAGAGAGAACTCATGTCTATATCAGAGGATAGCTAATGGTTGTTATCTCTCAAATTTTGATCAAGGTATTATTCAATGTTAAACTCAATGAAAATACTTTACTAAAATATCCATAAGGTTTTCTACTTTGCAGAATACATTATAACAATGTTATTTCTTTTAACTGTATTTTATAAAAGAATAAACTAACTCATAAAACTCACTCTGTAATTTTAGGCCCAGATCTAAAATTCCCTACCTTCTGATAGAAAATTCAGTGTTCATTCCACTGTGATAGATTCTAATTAAGTCTATTGTTCATACTTGTAATTTTTAATTGTTGTTAATAGAGAGAAGAAGAAGCAAGAAAATTCTCCAAAAATTCCAGAGAAAGGCATGTTTCAAAGTGTTCCTATTCTTCTGGATGAAGAAAAAATGGCAAAAGAAAGAAAGAAGAAGCTGAGAGAGTTATTAATACAAACTTTCAAGGAAAATCACCAGGTAGGAATTGTAACATCTCTTTTTTCAGCATTCTGCAGCATAAATGACAAAGGGCTCCATCAGAGATGTGACAGTGTAACTCTAAGCCCAACTGGGCCTTGTTACAAATACCAGAACTGTCCACACCGTTTGCTCTGTGCTACCCACTGACTTAGTACATAAGGGAGCATTTCGATCTCTTATTCAGGGGCTATTCTTACATAATCTATGTGATCCTGAGAAATTGGGGTATGAATTTGGGATGTCTTTTTTGGAGTAGTGTGTAAGTACTAATGTAGATCTCTGGCAGTTTGCAAGCATAGCTTCCACTTTGACAGTCTTATAGACCACTATGTTCTGTTTTTATTCAGAAGAATTATTCAGAAAGTTACTTGCCTTTTGGTAGCTCAGAAACTAAACAGTAGTATATTGGTGCTTCTGCTTTTAATGGCATGCGTTTTATTTTGCTCTTCTATCACTTTCTTTAGCTCCACTTTTTGTAAAATTAACTGGCCAATTTTTTATTGACTACTTCGCATCCTCCCCAAGCTATTTAGACAGAAATATTTTTCAGTGAAGTAGGATCAAAGGCAATATAAATTTGGGGCTTACAATGTTTCAGGTAAAAAGAATTCCTTGGAACATTTTTAAATGAGGTCTGATGAGAAAAGACAAATACCTATGTTTTATGTCTCCAACAACAGCCACCCCACAGCCTTGGGTATTGATGAAATTCAGTGAAAGTTAATGGAATGAATGTACAAATGAATGGATTTAACAAGTGAAAAGAATGTCAGGAAGAGATTGCAGGAGCTTGATAAATGTTGTTTAGTTGCTAAGTCATGTCTGACCTTGTGGACTGTAGCCCGCCAGGCTCCTCTGTCCATGGGATTGCCCAGGCAAGAATACTGGATTGGGTTGCCATTTCCTTCTCCAGGGGTTATTCTCTATCCAGGGATTGAACCTGCGTCTCCTGCTTAGCAGGCAGATTCTTTATTACTGAGTCACTTGGAAGCCCTAGGATAGACTAAAAAGGCCCTAGAAATCAATAACAGGCATTTGGATATGACATGGATAACTAAGATATGAGGGGGAAAATAGAGTAGTCAAAGTAATTCTTTAAAAAAAATAGCTAGACATGTTTGATGGCAGAATTTTGGACTGTCAGGCAAGAAGTCATAACTATTCAAACATAGAACAACAAGAGTTTGGCCAGAGTTTTGGCTTTAGGAATAGGTAGAGAAAAGCATGGTAGGAGGAGGTATTAAGAGTTAGGATTAACATTTTGGGAAAGATTGGCAAAGACTGTTCGATGCTGTGTCCTCCATGAGACGAATGGAGTTAATATGTCCTCCTGCAGTAACAGTTCAGATTTCTGAAAGCAAATTGGAAAGCAACTAAGTGTAGAGGGGGCTATCTTGAGAGAACATAAGGGCAAAGGGCCATGCTTTGTTCCAGCCAGTGAGAGATAGATAAGATGTGTGTTTCCCATAAGATTATTTTTTAATTTTATCCACGTCCAACTATGCAAGAAGTGATACAGTGCATCCATTGGTATTCACAGGGGGTTTGGTCCGGGATCCCAAGTATGTACCAAAATCTATAGATGCTCTAATCCCTTGTACAAAATAATGTGGTATTAGCCTATAATCTTAGAGAAGGAAATGGCAACCCACTCCAGTGTTCTTGCCTGGAGAATCCCAGGGACGGGGGAGCCTGGTGGGCTGCCCTCTATGGGGTCGCACAGAGTGGGACACGACTGAAGTGACTTAGCAGCAGCAGCATATACGCAATTCACATACTCCTGTGTGCTTTAAATCATCTCTGGATTACTTAGAACACCTATGTAAAAAATAAACAGAAACCTGAAGTAAGTAGGGTCCAGGAGACCAGCAGGGGGAGCTTTCATGCCCTGTGACAATAGCAGAGCCCAAAGAAGATAATTATTTGCTGGCAAGAACTGAGCCAATGAAAAGCCATGAACTCTGCTTACTATTGGGGTTTGATCCCTGGGTCAGAAAGATCCCCTGGAGAAGAGAAAGACTACTCATTCCAGTATTCTTGCTTGGGAAATCCCATGAACAGAGGAGCCTGGTGGGCTATAGTCCATAGGGTCGTACAGAGTCAGACACAGCTGAATGACTAACACTTTCACTTTGACTGCTTACTACAGCCCTCCCAACATAATCTTCCCCCCTGTAAGAGTTCTTCTCCCCTTGCTATGAAAGAACTTGTACATGGCTCACCATGGGTACAGATCCCAAATTTACAGTTTTCTACTGATTCCGAATAAACCCAGAGTTTGCAGGAATAATACTTGGCAGTCTGTTTGTTCCAGGTCAACACCTAATACAGTATAAATGCTATGTAAATAGTTGTAAATACAGTGTCACTGCTATGTAAATAGTTTTCAGCATGGCAATCAAGTTTTGCTTTTTGAAACTTTCTGGAATTTTTTTTCCCAAATATTTTCTATCCACAGTTGGTTGAATCCACAGCTGTATTGCATGGGGATACAGAGGGCTGACTGTATATGTTTCATAAAGAAGTGTTAGGTATGAATTCCAGATACATGTAAAGAGTTTTACAAAATTAGTGGCGTACTGAAACAAATTACTCAACTTTTAAAAGAGTCAGATGGTATATTTAAAAATGAGACAATAAATGGTCTATACTTTGCCACAGACTCTGCTTGATTTGAACATATATTTTTGGGTCTTTATTTTGAAATAATTTTAGACATGCAGAAAAATTGCAAAAAATAGTACATGGAGTTCCTGAATACCCTTCACCCAGCTTTCCTCAATGTTAACATCTTATGTAACCATAGTACAATTATCAAAACTAGGAAATTAACATTGGTAAAATGCCATTAAGTACAATTAGCAAGGCTTATTAGAATGTCACCTATTTTCCACCAATGTCCTTTTTCTGCTTCAGAACTTCATTTGTAATTTCACGCTGCAGTTGTTTGCTGTGTCTCCTTAGTCTCCTCCTGTTTGTGGTCATTCTCCAGACTTCCCTTGTCTTTTATGACTTTGACATTTTTGAAAGTCAGGTATTTTGTAGAACGCCTCTCAATTTGAGGTTTTCTGAAGCTCTGCTTAGATTGAGATTATGCATTATTGGTGATAACACAATAAGAAATGTTGCTGGGCCGCTCTCAGTATAATATCAGTTCAGTTCAGTTCAGTTGCTCAGTTGTGTCTGACTCTTTGAGACCCCATGAACCACAGCACGCCAGGCCTCCCTGTCCGTCACCAACTCCCAGAGTTCACCCAAACTCCTATCCATTGAGTCAGTGATGCCATCCAACCATCTCATCCTCTGTCGTCCCCTTCTTCTCCTGCCCTCAATCTTTCCCAGCATCAGGGTCTTTTCAAATGAGTCAGCTCTTTGCTTCAGGTGGTCGNCATCTCTTTCAGAATATTCCACAGTTTATTGTGATCCACACAGTCAAAGGCTTTGGCATAGTCAATAAAGAAGAAATACATGTTTTTCTGGAACTCTCTTGTATAATGACAGGGGCACGTAATCTTTGTTTTTGTTTTTGGCTGTGCCATGCCGCTTGTGGGATCTTAGTTCTTCAATATGGGATTGAACCCAGGTCCTCAGCAGTGAGAGCATGTAGTCCTAACTCCTGGACTGCCAGGGAACTCCACATAATGTTAATATGTCTTATTACTGTTGATGTTAACCTCAATCACTTAAGTTTGTGTCTGCTGGGTTTCTCCACTGTAAAGTTACTGTTTTTTCCTTTGTAATTCTTATCTTAGAGAAAATATTGTGAAACTATGCAAGTATTCTGTTTATCCTTAAACTTTCACTTACTGATTTTAGCATTCACTGTAACTTCCCTGTAACAGTAATTTATGTGGTAGTTGTCTAAGGATGCTTTTGTATTTCCCTCATCTTTTCTCCATTTATTCATTTAGATTCTTCTAGAAGGAAGAACTGTCTCTTCTTCCCCATTTATTTATTTACTCGTTTATTCAGTTACCTATCTGTATCAGTTTGGACTTGAGGATATTTACGTGATCCTTTGGATTATATTCTAATGTTATTGTTTACTTTGTTTTTCAGATTGTTCTAATCTTGGCCATTGGGAACTCTTTCTGGTGATTCCTTTGCCCTTTCAAAATCCTTTCTTTCTGGTACCATAGGATATTCTAAGCTCATGTTATACTTTCCCTGCCCTAACTCTGGAACCAACCACTTCTACTTGGAACCCTACTTCCATTTGTTGGAGAATATTTAGAAACCAAGATCTGGTTACTAGCTGTGCTCACTGCTACTGGGATATCATGTTTTCTGGGCCCTCTTGGCAGACAGATTTAGGAAATCAATGTACATACACTAACCTACACATACACGCACATTGTATTTTTTTCTGTGTCTGTCTGTATTTATGCACGTTAAAATCCACTAGTTCATACTGAAATATCCAGTTCTGGTACAACAGCACAGAGGTCATGCTCGTCTTCCCTTCCTTATTTGTAACTTTTTCTGTATCTATCTGTCTGTATATTAAAATAATTGTAATAATGTCAACCCTAATCCATCATCATAGGTTTTAGTGTAGCCTTCCCCCTTGCTTGTTTATACCTGGAACTTATTATCTAAGATATATTTATGTAACCCTTGTTGTTGTCATTCAGTCACTGAGTCATGTCTGACTCTTTGCAAACCCATGGACTGCAACATGTCAGGCCTTCCTGTCCTTCACTATCTCTCGGAGTTTATTCAAACTCGTATCCATTGAGTCAGGGATGCCATCCAACCATCTCATCCTCTGTCGCCCTCTTCTCCTGCCCTCAATTTTTCTCAGCATCAGGGTCTTTTCCAATGAGTTGGCTCTTCACGTCAGATGGCCAAAGTATTGGAGCTTCAGCTTTAGCAGCAGTCCTTCCAATGAATATTCGAGGTTGATTTCCTTTAGGATTTACTGGTTTGACCTCTGTGCAATCCAAGAGACTCTTAGGAGTCTTCTCTAGCACCACAATTAAAAAGCATCAGTTATT